GAGTCCTTCTTGGTATTGAGAAAATCGTTTCCTCGAAGTCCTCCTCGTTTTAGAATCTTATGGTCAGTTATTCAAATGAATTCTAAGTTAGGCCGCGGTTTAGCTTCCTTTGTGGGTTAAATAAGCGCTTTTCCAGCCTAGACTTTATGCTTTCATGAAACTTTTCACGATAAATGGTGTTAAGATAAAAGTGTTGGGCAAACTGAAAATGGCTTAGAACGCGGTATTGCTAAACACTGGCTAAACTCCAGTTAAAATAACTGGCCCTAAAGGTCTTTGTGTGAACAAAATCAGACAGGAGCACAGGGCTAAATAGGCCAAATCATCAAAAAGTTTATTCACAGTCAGCTCGTTCATCATTCGACAAGACGAACACTTCCCTTTAAGGGCACCAAGGGCTGTTAGCTCGACCCTAGATCTAGACTGATACACATCTGGGTGCGAAGTTACAACAGAGTTGGTCGTTGTAACCGTTGAGTGATCTTGGGTGTGCAAGGGTGGCGCAGTGGTGAGAGCACTGCTCTCGCCTCCTACCAACATTTCCCGGTGTCAAATTACGGGGTGAGAAATAACTATTAAAATAACTAAATATGGAGCAGAGGCAAGCATTTAGCCTTTTGATGATTCAGTTGAACGTTTTATCTAAACCTGGCACTTTTAATGCTGGTAATTAATTTATAATGCAGTTTTTCTTTATTTAGGTCTTTCTGTTTATAAATATAGCAGATATCGATTAGGGCCGCTTCCAAGAACTGATGTATAAAGGGATTGTAATTGAATAAAAGACCTTGAATACCGCCGGAAAAAGGTATGAAAGCCAAAGGCATTGGAAAATATCGCTGTTCGGTTAATTTTGATGAAATCTAAGGTACACGTATCGAAAACTGCAATAATTGACTTTTTCCCACCACAAGAAATAACCCTAGAAGGAATAAATTGATTGGAACAGAGAGCAAATATGGCGCGATCAGGAATTATATTGACAAAGCGAAAGTAGTATAGTGGGGACTGGTCAGGCCTTCTTTGAGCAGGACACCCATAAGGAGGGCAGGAATACATCAACGCTGATGACGACATAGCCTTTCGTCTTTACATTGATCATGATTAAGATGCGGTGAAATTTCATCAAGATAAGGTAATGTGCTAACTTTAGGTGTTTGACAGGTTTTAGGTCGATGAATGATGTCTTGGTTTTTGATTGGTTGACTAGAAACTAAGAATAGAATTCACTGTTCTATTCATGTTGTCGAAGAAATAAGCGCACCGTCACCCGTGACTTAACACCACTGAACCGTAACATAATTATGCAAGTTCTAATTTCTTCCGCTTTCATTGTCCATATTGCAGAAATGAAATTGTTCCAGCCCCGGTTCACTGATTCTTGGCTCCCAGATAGTGCATATTGCATATATATTAGATGTCGTGTCGCGTAAAAGGTTAGAATTAGTTTAGTTTAATACACTCGCCACAGAACTTACAATAGGACATTACGAAATTACAAGGCGACGGCAAAGGGAACGTCAAAAAAGAAACGGGTTTAATGAGTAAACCAGCAACTCTGCACGTGCATCATGCTATATTTTTGTCAATTTCTTTGCCTTCCCTGCACAACCCTGTACTTCTTCCTTCAAGTAACAGGGCGATTTGGGATAAACGCAGAATAGTTTTAAAGAATGCGAAGTCTATTTTTCAGCAACGTTTTCATAGACGTCGTCGTTGTCGGATGGTACGGTCTCTAATGATGAAAGAGAACAACAAAACGTAAATGGGGAGGGGAGAGGAGGGTGACAGGGAATAGCAACAGAACTTTCTTCCCATTGCAACCTAACTCGCTTAAAAGACATATAGGATAGGATAATGGAATATATTTAAAGATTTTGTTTGATTTCAAGATGGTCTCTTGCGGCATTTGATAAGCAGCACATAAATGAGAAAAGCAGTTGTTTTCCCAGCACCTTTAATAAGCTTCATCTAAAGGAAACTGACATAAAGAATAAAAAATGTATAAAAGGTTACATTACAAAATGTGAGTGCTCCCAAATATGGGAGCAATTACAGTGGTCTGGGACCATGCGCTGTAATTGGCTTACCGCTGTTGTGAGTTTTAGCCAAAAAAGCCGACTACATCATGTAAAAATTAGGCAGAAATTGACAAACTACGCAAGTGCATATTATTTTAAAACGCTCCGGGACCTTACCGCTTGTAAATATGCTATAAGATAAAAATACAAATCAGCTGGGTTTAATGATTCAAAGTTTAAAATACTGACTTATCGAAAACTGCCGCTTATAAGCCTTGGGCTTACACATGTTTCTACTCCAGGGGGTTTGGGGAGGGGCTTTTAAACGAAATTAAGGGCTTAGGTTCGGGCCGGGGGGCTTGAAACTGGAAAAGAAAAAGAGCTTCGAGACAAACTATAGAAGTCTCAATAAATGAAATTGAGAGAAGGAAGCGGGGGGGGGGGGGTTATAATCGGAGCTAAATCGGAGCTAGAGCGTGAACTTATATACGGGGGGTTACAATCGGATTTATGTTTTTGTTTACAGGTAGAAGGCCCTATAACTGCTGTAACTGGGGGAGGCTTATAAGTTTGTTGGGGGTCGTTTAAGCGGCAGTTTACAGTATGTACCTACTATGCCTGTCTTAACAGGCTTCATCTAGTTAAGCCTTATTTATTATAAACTTGATTGCCGAGCTGTTCCGTATCAACACTATTTCAGTTCGATTCAAAGTGTTTAATAACCCCACCAGAACAAACACGTGGTCGGATTGGTTTCATTTTAAGGGGCGCCGGAATCGGAATCATCCTCGTTTGTCCCCGTAAGTCACTGCAAAGCTGCAATTATTTCACTATCTGAAATTGACCGTCAGTGCATCGAAACCTTTCTTTTGGACACCTCCGTAATACTTATATCTATCTATTAAAGATAGGTTGCTTTCCATTAGAGATGCCAGACTCCATCCTGTCTGTCAAATAATATTTAAGGCACCTCTGCCGGATACTGATACTTTGTCCTTTGATGTCCTCCTACCTCATAATAGGTTCGACTGGGTAGATCTTATATAAATAAGGCTTTAACATTAAGATAAAACTACATGTAAAAACATTAATTGAAAGTAGCTTTCTCCATGCGTTTTATAGACCTCATGGCAGTCGTTCAAAATCGAGGGCAAAGTACTAGGCTCGGGGGAACATAGCCTCCTATGTAGACGTTCTTTCGGCTCGTCACGCAATCCTCCCCATCGTGGGGAAGGAACGCGTGACGAAGCCCTAAGAACGTCTGGGCGGGAGGCTATGGAGAACATGATTTGTCTCCCCCTGTCGCGCGTGCGTCCTTCCAATTATTGCACGCCCGATGTCCCCCTAGGCTATGCAAATATGTGCTTACCTAACTAAAGGAAAAACAAGTAAAAAATAACGCGTATAAGAACGAACGACGTTTCGGTGTCATTTTAGTGGAGCTCCACCCGTGCGCGAAGCGCGCGCGTCGGCGGAGACCCATAGCTAAGGAAATGTGGTAATCTACCCATCCCAGAAAATTTGGTTATCACGTGACCGTACGACCGTCCGTCCGCACCACAGGCATACCAATGTAAAATAACTCAATCAACAGGTATGGGAACCCAAATGCAACTCAAGGTTTTATTTGAAAGGAAATCTCATGGCCGTCCAGACTTTTAGAAAGAGAAAAGTCGTGTCTTTTTCGGCGTTATTTTTTATGCGTACAGTAACGTGGATAACAGAGAAAGAGCTAGAGCGAGTTATTGAAAATTCGTTGGAAGAAAAACATTGAAATTCAAAGCGGCGGTGAGAAAATGAGAAATGCTAGCGATCAGCAAGGTGAAAATGGGCGGCAGTGAAAAATAAAAGCGAACATGAACACTGGAAACAAAATATTGGGTAGGCACATACGACAATTTCTCCATAAAAATAGTGTGTAACTAGGACGTTTGACGTTTTACTCGTACAAAACAGTGTTGTAGTCGTGCAAAACAACGACAAGGGAAAGACAAAAAAGCGTGCTGCACGTGCAAATTTGCTTTTTGCTAATTAGAAGAAAAAGTGTGCTGCACGTGCAATTTGCTTTTTTGCTAATTAGATCTATTACTCTTGAAGCCATTTTCATTGTCGTCCCCCGTTTAGCGTTACACGATTTAATTTTTTTTGTTTACACGTATTATTAACCAGAGCTTCGCTTTTAGCCCTGGCTAAATCTATATATTAACGCTGTTTTGAAGGTCAAAGTGACTGCTAATAAACTGACAAAAAACGGTTTGGATGGTGAGTAGCATATCTGAAATATGCAAAGTCCCGCAAAATGTTTTGCTCGAATTGAGTCCGAATGGACATTTAGAGAAGGTGTTAGTTTCCTATAGCAACATTTCGTGCACTAAACAATCGAACTTGTTGTTGCACTTCTTAAGGACAGAGAACTGTCTGTCAAGATCTGTCGGGACAGTACAGTGTTTATCCTTATAGTGTTTGCCAGTGGAGGAAGACATATTTTTGTGTTCAACCACGCGCTGGTATAAGTGCCTTAGTGTATAAACTACATAACTTGCATCTCAAAAGTCACATTCGTTGGCTCCACACTAGAAGCGAAGTTAATTTCAAGAGAGCACTTGGAAATAACCGCTGCACTTGCACATCTTGCACATGGCTTCCATTTCTTGTCGGTCAAGTGTGTTCTCAAGTGTGGTGTAGACCATACTTGGCAGGGAACTTCGGCTTCTTTGAACTACGAACGTTTCCATGGTCACCAAGTAAAGTTGCAGTAGCTACAATTTACCCCTTCACTCTCAAAGTAGGTTCCAAGTACACTTACACTTGAGACTCTAGCGTGAAGCCAACAATTGAAATTGATAAACTACACACTGTTGGTTTACAATAGGCGGTTTTTCTCTCGAAATTTAAGGACCTCCCGGATTTTGTTGCTGTCTGCGGGAGCAGGTTTTGGTGGCAGGTCTTCCGCCTTTGAAGCAACAAAATCCCTGATGGTACTAGTGATAAGATGTTTCGGATATTTAGCCAGAAGATTCACACAGTCGTTCAACCAGTTTTCGTTAGCAACAAGATCCAAGAGGTCTTTAAAGTTATGAGAAAAAACTGCCTATTGTAAACCAACAGTGTGTAGTTTATCAATTTCATTGGACTTGCGCTATGCGGGTTATTTAGGTTATACACTGAGGCACTTAGGCTGCGTGCAAACGGACCGGCAACAACTCCCAGGAGTTGTTGCGTGCGTGTTGGCAGTGGTCTGCAAACGGAAGCAACAAGTCCCAGCAATGTTGTGACCTACAGTGCATCGTGGGAAGGATACAGCCCATAAGTCTTTGTAAACCATGCGTAATGAGCGTGCGTGGCCCCAACAATGTTGGAAGAGCTGTGCAAACGGATCCAACATTGTTGCACTACGCTTCGGCGATCACGGAACAAAAGAAATGTTAAGAGTCACTTGGCTAAAAAGTTTGACCGGTTTCAAACTCTGCGCGATATGACGCAACAACTTCCAGCAACATGCAACAGGGTGTGCAAACGGACGCAGCATGTAACATCCAACAATGCTGGGAGTTGTTGGTCAACAATGTTGCGTCCGTTTACACGCAGTCTTACACCAGCGCGTGGGTCAACAGAAAAATATGTCCTCCTCCACTGACAAACATCATAAGGATAAACACTCTACTGTCCCGAAAGATCTTGACAAACAGTTCTCTGTTCTTAAGGAGGGCAACAAGAAGTTTGATTGTTTAGTGTACGAGATGTTGCTAATAAGGGAACTAAAATCTTCTCTAAGTGTCCAATCGGACTCAATTTGAGCAAACGTTTTGCGTGACTTTGCATATTTCTTATATGCTGACCATTATCCAAAAAGATTTTTGTCGATCAGTTTATCAGCAATCACTTTCGAACTTGAAAATGGCGTCAAGATGACACTGAAACGTCGTTCCGTCTTATCTGCGTTATTTTTTACTTGTTTCTGTATAACTAAACCTTTGTTTATTAACTAAAAAAAGACTGAAAAAATTACTCTCAGGCAAAGAGGGGATTAGTTTTTCTCATTATTCTATCTTAAGATTTTCAAAGTTTCCAAGGTTACTAAATTATTGCGTATCCTTACTTTGAAAAAATCCTGAAATGTACGGTGAATAACCAAGAGACCATGTCACTGGCTATTTTCCATGATAGACGTAAGTCCCGTTTCTGTATCGGTCCTGGCAAAAGGCCATTCACAGAAATTAATCACGTGACGGTGCTTATCACGAGAAACAGAAAACTAAACGCGCTAATCATGCATGCTCAAGTGCAAAATCTCTATGAATAAGCAAATGAAAGCTACAAAGGCTCCTTGTGATTCGCCTGAAAGTAAATAGTTCATTTCCCTTCATATGCAGAGTTAACCTTAAAAGTAGCCTGCCTTGCAACAGAAGGTTGCGGATTGACATTGACATAAATGCTGTAATCATCCAGCGATGCATATTCGTTCTCTTGTATTCCAGGGTACTTCTCACCTTCAGCGTACCTAGGATCATTATCTGACTGAATGCTTGAATAGTAATCATCCTCCTTTGTCTCCGGAGGATTTTCGTTTGTTTCATAAGTGGGGTTATCAAACTGACACGATGTTGGTGCAGAAGAAGGCTTTGATTTCCTCGTCTTTCGACTCTTGCACCAAAGGACCAAACCCACAAGAACTGCAACTGATAAATTGAAAAACCCTTATTACCATCTGACATTAGAAGTAGATAATATCTTTGAACATATATGTGGTCTTAATTTACTTCTTTATATTTCAAGCGTGGTTGCATGCACAGTGACAAAGTCTCAACGCTCTCAGAAAAAAAAACCGACACACCTATCAATGTGAAGAATCAGTTGAATTTTTCCTACTTGTCCAACCTATTGAATTAAAGTTTCATACTGGAAGTGACTCGGCAGTAAGCTTTTCCCGATTATGCTAGTAAAACTGGCATTTTATGCTCCTAACAATTCTCGCTTTACGCCAAACAAATGCTCAAATTATGCTAGATTCTCAAAATAATGCTTCTTTGGTTCCAGAAAATGCTTAGTTTTATTTCAAGCAAAACGTACAAACTCAGGCATAATGTGTGCTTATTATCGACTGAATAAAATGAAAAGTGCTTAATTGTTTGTTTATAAAACTTCTGATACAGCCAAAACTTGTCCAATGATAAACAGTTAACCAATGTTCGAAGTCCTTAGCGCCTGTTGTACTGTGACATGACGCGCGCTCATGTAACGGGACTTTCGTTGTATCGCTGTTTCCCCTCCGCTTGTACTCTCCATTGGTTGATTCTTAAGATCGATCTCGAGCTACCGTTGAAGGTCGAAGAGACTGATCTATTCCTTCTATGTTTCAAAAAGATGGCGTGGCACTGGCCGAGACCATCTTGCGTGAACGGCCTCCGAAAGTTAACCGCTGACCAGCTAGGTCCAGACTTCTTTCGAGTCAGTTCCATCTTCAGTTACAGAAATTCTTCTCTCAACCACAAAAGCAAATCATCACATGCTTTTAAATTCTAAAATTTAGCATTAAAAGTCTTCTGAGTACCGAAATCTAGATCAGAGTTATGCAAAATGCTAAGTAATGCGAGAAATTCTTTTAATTTACAGAAAAAGTGTGAAAAAATGCTTGTTTAACCAAATAATGCCAAAAAAAATGCTAGCATATATATAATCGGGAAGGGGCTACTCGGCAGCAGCAAAACAGAGGTTTCGCGAAGAGTGTAACCACTTCCTGGATTACATTTTCTATTTACTTCTGTCCGAGTCAAAAGGCCAATTTTACTGTTACTTTTGGCGGACGTACTGAGAAAGAGGAGAAATGAGGAATTATTATTCCCTTTTTCTACAACTTATTAGTGCCAAAATCTGTTTTGCTGTGCCACTTAAGGCATGGAGGAGAGAATGTTTAAGGATCTCTCCCAGGTTTTAAAAATTGGGAAAGACAGAAAGTGTCGATGGAGGAAAATGCGCACGCTTAGACAAATACAATTGCAGCGGACACCCTCAGAGAACAGAAAAATATGTACCTGATTGGAGTTGACCATTTAGGGACACTGTACGAACGAGAAGAGTCTTCGTGAACGTTCGTTAGAGATAGATGGATTGTTTGGGAAGCTTAGCACGCTTATACGTACTGAACTCTGCTAATACACCGGAATGATTACTCTTATTATGAGTAATTGGTCTCGTTAAAAAGTCTAATTGCAAATGCAGCGTTTTTAAGTGAATTATGTGGGGCCTTGTCAAGGCTGCCATAGGTAAAGTTGTCGGAGATTGTCCTTTGTAAGAGCTTCCGGGTGGCCTTAAATTTTGATCAGCAAACCAAGGCAATTTATTTTTGTATTTTGTGCATATTTATAATGTGCAAGTCATTGAAAATATGTATTTTTTTCCCCAAAGGTGGTGTAGTGGTACAGTGGATATATACTTCAGGAAATCTCGGCTTACTTAAGACTATAGCGACTGGTCCACCAATAATGACGGGAAGTTTCCATGGTAACTTCTCTGAGTCTTCCTGGCCCTTAAATTCGCCCGAATCGTCTTTTGTGTGATCAGAAACCGATGGTGGAGCCTCCGTCATTAAGGTTCCAGTAAAATGCATCTAAAAAGAGGAATACGCAAAGTTTCTTAGTTTACATTTCGGGAAAAACATTAGAAATGTGGTGGTGCTAGAGGGGAAAAAATTGAGGGGGAGCAAAATATTAATTGTGGAGTAGAAGAAAAGGGAGAGAGAGGTAAGTAAAAAATGTCGTTCAGTATCACCAAAAGCTAGTTTGCCTTCGCCTTCATTAATTATGCACGATTTGCACCCCAAGAAACCGTGAACCGGATGTGGAACAATTTGTTTTCTGCAATGGACAACGAAAGGGCAGAAAATAGGTCTTGCATTATTGCGTTACGGTTCAGTGATGTTAAGTCACAGGAGTTAGCTCTTATTTCCTCGAAAACATGAATCAACCAATGAATACTTTACTTAGTTTTTAGCTAACCAATCATTACCCAAAACATTCATCGACCTAAAACTTGTTAAACCGGTTAAACCGCCTAAAGATAGCACATCACCTTATTTTTTAAAATGACATTCCATCGCAAGTTTATTTATGATGCAAAGGCGAAAGGCTACGACGTAATCGTTGTTAATGTATTCCTGCCCTTCCTTATGGCATTTCTGCCCCCAAAGGCCCAACCAGTCCCTACTATACTACGTTTGCTTCGTCAAAATAATTCCCGATCGCGTCAGCTACAATAATTCCCGATCGTGCCAGCTACATTTTTTTGGTGTATGTTCCGATCAATTTCCTTCTCGGGTTGGGTCTTGTGATGGGCAAAAGGCAATTGTAACAATTTTTTGACACGTGAATGAAAGCGCTAGCTCCGTTATTTCATCAAAATTTTCTTTATTTTTTCAAGGTTTACTTTATTTGATCAAAATTAACCGATATTTTCCAATGCCTTTGGCTTTCATACCTTTTCCCCGCGGTATTCAATTACAATCCCTTTAATCATCAGTTCTTGTAAGCGGCTCTCATCGATATCTGCTGCATTTATAAACAGAAAGACCTAAAGAAAAAAATGAATTTTTAAATTGATGACCAGCATTGAACTTTCCAAGTTTAGATAAAACGTTCAACTGAATAATTAAAAGATTAGGTGCCTACCTCTGCTCCATATTTAGTTACATTCATTTCAGATTTCTTCTCAGTTACAACACCTGTCTGTTGATTTAAGAAAAAGAATCGTTTATCTAAGGTTTTAAAAATATAAACAATTCTAATCCTAACCTCAATCTTTTGCCTTTCCCTTTAAAAAAGGAGCCGAGGCCTAAAATGTTGGTTGTTATACAGTAATATCAATAATTAAAGCAAACAACATCCTTATAAATTTTCTAACGTGTTAGAATAGCTGTACAAGAAGTGCTCTTTCATACCTTATTCCAGTCAATATTGTATGTGTATGTTTTGCAGTAAATTTGATTTTATTTAAAAACAAAAAACAAAAAAATTAACTTAATTACCTAAGAACATCTGTAAAAAAGAAGTAAGCGAGTAAATACTCTTTATCCCATGTAAAAAAATGAAAGTTTCAATTGTATCTCTACCAAGTTACATTTAGTTTTGTTTTCCTATGATAGTTGAATGTAACCTATGAATACAGCCGTTTCTCCTAGGAACGTCGGCGACTCAGCGACGACAGAAATGCCATACTAAGGATGTAAATCAATGTTTACATAATAAATCCGGTTGTCATGGTGTTCCAAATGTAAAATTGTTTGATTTTGTGTTTCTCCTGGTCTATTATGGTAACGTTTTGTGTTCTTCTGCGAACGAGCTCCAGCAAACTTAGATGCTTTTTCTAAAGAAGAACATATTCTAAGAATATTGACTGTTTTGTGGTAGATTCATCATGTTTACATTTGATATTTGTGGCCTTTTGTCTTTTGTCTGTCATTCGTAAACAATAGCTAAAACAATATAACTACTACGTCGACCAATCAGAACTCCTGACCAGAACCCGGACAGATTTGACGTCATAAGCAAGGAATTTCTGTCGCTGAGTCGCAGACTTCCCTCTTCGTCAAACGTCCTGAGTGGCGAGGATCAAGGAGAAACAGCTGTATTCGCAGGCTAAGTTGAATGCAGCATGAAACAAATGGGAACTTAAATGTTTTACTACGGGGGAGGGGGAAGAAATTTAGTTCCCACCAGGAGCCATAATCGGGATTAGGGCTCCTGATTCCCTCTAAAAGTCTGTGGTTTCTTTTTACTTGAGATGGGTTACTGAAAAGCACCTATGTTTTACCCGAGGGTGTGGTCAACTGTAACATTATAAGGTGGCTGAACACAGTTTTGGCAGTTTGTGATTATGTCTCATTTGCCAAATCATGGCAATTGACGTTTTCGTAGTTTCCATGGCAACATGAACGATTGAATACAACCTTAAAATTTCACTTTTTCTCATTTTACATAAAATTCGCTCATTAGATTTTCCTTTGAAACTTATTTGACCAAATTTTAACAGACGGGTTTTTAGATAATCAATAATTTAATTGTACTATAATTATTAAATGTGTCACAAAATTCGTCTGTTCAACTTCTATTTTAAAGTTCTCATTACTTAAAATACGATGAAAGGAAAAATTCTGCCAAATATCACAAAATTCTGATGAGTAGATTTTGAGAAATCGTCTTCTGTGTTCCATTGCTTTTTCGCCGTCGTGTTCGTCATGGTCATGTTTGTCTAATCTAATGGTGTTCAGCCACCTTAAACTCTCCCTAAGCCAACAAAAAATAACTTTACACTTTCAATTCGCAATAAAGATCGTTCTTACACCAAAAAATCTTGACAATTCCTTTTTGATCAGCTCCAGAATTTCTTCCTTGCTCTTCATGATATCCGGAGAAACCAGCTTTTCGGTTAAGAACAGCTGAACATAAAATTATTTATATGATTCAGAAGAAATACAGCAAAACATTTCACTAAGAAACAGTTAATCTAGTGAATTATCGCTTAGAATATAAAATACATTCATAAGGATATGCAAAGCGTACTTAATCTAAATAGCGCCCCCTTGAATAACCGCCGCATTAAAGAGCAAAAAAGGGAGCGCTGCACCCTTCAGGAATTTTATCCAATCAGAAGTAAGTATTTATTCACGCAACTTGAAACAACATAATTTATTACAAGACAGGAGAGCGCGCAACATCGCCCTTCACCTCACATTGCAGAAGCAATAAACACAAAAAACGCCATCGTTACCTTTATTTCAATAATTCTGGGGGGAGACGGCGATTTAACACCTGTGTTGATACAAAAGTTATAGATAAATAAATAAATAACGATGAAAGTAAATGGTCTTTATTTACTCTCGGCGGTATTTAAAGCTTAAAGCCTGGTTGGTTCGAGAAAATAAGTTAACGAAATAATCCAAGTGCAACATAATAAGACTTGTAATAATTTCTTACGAAAGAAGTAGTTATTTCTCTGCTCTTTGTAATTCCGCCTAAAAAGGTTTAAATGAGAAACGAATAAAGTCTCAATGTCACTATGTCTACAATGTCTACCACTTCACGTAATTTTTTTTTAAGTCGCTGTTTTCTGTGGCTGTCCGAGTAGACACGCTTATGGAGAAAATTGGGACCCGAAATACACAAGAATTTGACGTACGCTACGTGAAATATTACAGCTGATTTAATCGACTTACTTATACAGTACTCTTTATCCACTGTTCCACTTGAATGAGTGGTAAAGCTAGGTCCGCAGGAAATGCAAGATGGGCGCCCTCTTGAAGGTTGATAAGTGCCACGAGGACATAAGCTGCACGTTCTGTTGAGGGAACTGTACGAACCAGCTGGACAGTCCGCTGCAAAGATTCGCGTAAGAAAGGGAAGAGAAAGTAAAACTCATTTTACTACTATTTTCACTGCTACCTGACCTTCGTAGCCAAAATATGTAGAGATTGAGAAGTTTTTCTCTCAGTACTCCGGTTGTCCCCCTTAAGGATTCAAGGAGTTGTTCGCGTAGCTGACATTTGCGTGGTTTTATGACAGCTACGTGAACGACTACGCACATGCTAAATTACATACCGGAAAGAAACTTCCACTCAAAAGGTAGTTTTTTTTTCCTTTCCGGCATGGATTTTAGCATTTGCGCAGTCGTTCGCGTCGCTGTCATAAGGTAACTACGCAAATGTCGGCTATACGAACGACTTTGTAAATGCTTAGAACCACGACGGGAAAGAAACCTCTGCTAGCAGGGTTGTGGGGGTGGCGAAGGGGAGGGGGGGTGGGGGAGAGGGACCCAAGAGGTAAGGGGAAAAACGTCCTTGAGCAAGAACGAGAACCACAACAAAGTTCCACCAATATACTGTATGGCGTCGCCTCCGGGATTTGAACCCAGGCCACAATTGCTCCCCAATATTTTACTGCTTGACAATTCATCAATTCATTATCAACGACCAATTTAACTGTTTCAGCCTGTAAAACAACTATTGATCTCTATCCTCCGCCGAGGCTCCCTCTAGGTATTCCAGAAAAAAAAATGGCAATCCTACGCGCTTTCTTTTTTTCCTCTGTCCAGCCTCCCTGCGACACAAAGAGATCTCTGCGGAGGGGAGAGGCTATTGCTCACTTCTCATTGAACCTCTGTTAATCAAATGCGTCAAATGATTGGGAGGGGGAAGGGAACATTCAGAGAGAAGGGAAAAATCACTAAAAACCAAGGGGGTGAAAACATTATTGCGCTGCTTTAGTGCTATATATGTTTCGTCGTAAGACGCTAAAAACTTTCGCATAACACACGGATACGTTACCAATACAATATGATTCTTCCACTGCTCCAAGCAAAGCTGTAGTTAGGTTTTTGCCGCAGGGGATGCATTTCATTTGACCTTGAATAGGTTGGTAAGTACCAAGAGGACATTCAACACAAATGGCCTTCTCAGTACTAAAGTAAGATCCAGCAGGACAGATTTCTAAAGGCCAAATAAATAGAGAAAAAAGACACTGATCAGAGAACTTTTGATTTATTGTCGAACAGAAAGGTGTTAAAGAAGCGAATGTTCGGAGCCCTGAGGATGCTTTATAAAGACTTGAAAATTTTTCATGTGACTTAATATTGATCAGGAGACAAAATTTTTTATTTTGTTTATTTTTATTAGGATTCGCCAATTTTTGGCAGGTTAATCTCAACAGCGTGAAGCCAAATACTGTTGGTCCGTGTGACAGTCCCCTTCCTCATGAGACATAAACCACCCCAACGGGGTCCCCACGTCCCTACCCTTTTCTAACAGCAGTATGGGTTCTATTATGTCTCCGTTCAATTTGTGAGGAAGGATGAAGGAAACAAAGCCAACGGCCTAACGTCACCGCCCTAAGACGCGGTCAATGAACTGAGACAAGATCTTAAATCGCAGGGAAGATTGACTCCACGGTGTCAATTGGAGGCTATGGGGCCTAACCCAATCTTTTTGATACCTTGAACTTACCAATGCAGTGCTTATTGTTCACCGTTCCAGTTGTTGCGGTGGTCAGGTTTTGACCACATGATATGCAAGATAGCTGAGCTCTTGAAGGTTGGTATGTACCGTGAGGACACAGAAGACACGTTCTGTTCAGTGTTGCGAATGAACCACTCGGACAGTCAGCTAAGAAGAGAAGAATAGTATAATAGTGACATTAAAGTGGTTAAGGCCCATTTCAAACATTGTGCGACGAGGCCTCCACGGCTGGCTCTTGCCGCACAAAACTGAAATTGCCAACCAACCTACACAAACGTAAAACATCACTTTCCTATCTCGCCTTATCTATCAATTAGGTCCTGCACTTTTATGAAGTTGCGTTTGAACCGGACCGCTAAAAATTCATACATCTTATTCTAAATTGGCAACAACACTGCTTTTGTGAAAGGTTTGAACCCAGAAGTCATTTCATAAGTACGTTGAGCATAATCGTCCGGGTGAACGTAGTCCTGAATAGGACTGTTGTTGACAGTCACTGACGTTTCGACAACCTGTTTGGTAGTGATCTTCACAGTCAAAGTGAGTTGTATCACGTCAGTTGATGGTATCAAACTATGGTCATTGACCTGATTGGTCAATTAAGTCGCGATGTTATTGGTCGTCTGTCAGTTAAACCGTGATGTTATTGGCTATGAAGACTTGAAATATCATTGGTGCGTTTCGATTGTCACAGTTTAACAGTAGTGTATTGTCTGAGTCAAATTGTCGGTTGTTTTTGCTAATTAGCCCTCTTTGCCTCGATTGCCTTTGCAGAATTCAAGTGAAATTTTACCTTAAAGCAAGGTATCGAGGGTGATTAGCCTAAAGACAAATGAATGACCGACCTTTGATAAAATGAAACCTTCGGTAAACATATGTCAAAGTAATAACTACGCACCCAAATAATCAAAGTCGGATACTTTACCGATGCAGCCTTGTTCTTCTACAGTTCCTTCCATAGCTGTTGTGAGGTTTTGGCCACAACGAATACACTCGTTTTGACCTTGGTTTGTTTGATATGTACCATGTGGACAATCAACGCAGGTGTCATTTTCAAGGTTGTAGTATAGACCGGCTGGGCAGTTTGCTAAAAAAAAAGAAAACATTTCACTTAGCTTGAAATTAATAGCGTAAATAACCTAGAGCGTATACTTTTAGTAGAGTAATCAATTAAAAAAAATCAGACGAGTTGGGTTAGCTTAACGCAATATATGTTAAGATTCAAAAAACCCTATCTAAACAACATGTGAAATCATGAGCGTCATTTTTCTAGGACAACTATCCCCCAAGTCGGGGCCAAACAATAGGAAATAACGACCGAGACAAAAAAGTCGGCATGATGACGTGATTCTTCTGGTCCCAGTTGTTCAAAAGGTGGCGAAAACATTAAACACCTGATCAATTTCTATCTACTGGATAGCGTTATTGATTTCTCCATACTTCTCCATACTATACTGGATAATTTTTTTTTTCTGGTGGATCAAATATACTGTTTTTTTTCCGATGGATCAATGATGCTATACGGATTTTGAACAACGAACCAAATGGAATTGTCATTCTTAACACATCTATTAAAGTCACCAATGTAGAACGCAACTCACCACAAATAAAACCGTTACCACTAAGGAACTGTCCTTCGGGACATTCGGGTGATAACGGGTAGGCGAATATACTTCCAGGTTCAACAAGGAGAGTGGTGGAGTTCCAAGAAACCTTAAAGGTCTTGTTAAGTACGTCTTCGTTGAACTTTTGAAGATTCTCGACCATCCTTGCTTCACCAATAGCAATCGCTTCAGCTACTTTTGTAAAGGTTGTAAGGTTTTCGTCCTTTAACAAGTCTTTATCAAGGTCGATAGTGAATAACAAATACGGCTTTGACGTATTTTCTGAATAGTAGGTCAGATCAGAGACTGAAAAAGTGGACAAATTCAGCGATGTTGCCAGGGAATTTAGGAGGCTGTCAGTCAGATTGTCGTCCAGTGATGAAGGTAATCCATCACATAATTGCGAATCTGGGGCAGAACTGTTGGAAGAATTAGATGTTAGCCAACAGAGGTTGGTCAGGTTAAAAGTAATCAGCAATCGTGGAAGGCCAACTGTGTAGTTTAAAACATCTAGTCGCGCTCTTTGGCTGACTGCTGTACCGTGTTCATTAGATGCTTCACAAAAGTAATAACCCTCCTGGTAAAGATGAGGGTCGGCGATGTATAACACAGGTCTGGTTTCGTTAATTCTAACAGTGGATGCGTTTTTGGATTGAAAGAACCACTGGAAAGTAGGCAATGGCACGGCAGTCGAATTACACTTAAATGTCACTGGTATTTGGCTTCTAAAGACTACTCTGTGTGGCTGTGGATGTTCAGTGATCACAGGCTTGCTATGAATTCTGACTATTGTCACATTGGACAAAGTGTTTCCTTTATTGTTCGAAACCTCACAGACATAAGCCCCCTCATCATCCTTGGTGACGGCGTCTATCGAGAAAGCTCCAAATGTTGATTTGCTAATGGTCTTATCATTTCGTCGCCAAGTATATGTTAGGATCTCTTCGGTCTTTGCACTACAATTTAGCGAAAGGCTATCTCCAGGGAAAATGATAACCTCACCTTGAGATGAAGACGTTATGCTTGGTGATCCTCCACACAAAACGGAGTCATCAAGCGTTTTGTTCAATAAGTAATCGGCGAGAATGAGAGCCTGCTCTGCTTCCTCCATACTCAGGGCTTGAGTTGTTAATGACTGAATCACGATTTTAAGTCGAGGCAGGGCATCTTTAATCTCAAGTGCCCTCCGACTGCTTTCGAACTCATAAAATTCCTTTGCTCCCTCGAAGAAGTATTTGATGCAGTCTTGAGTGCCAGAGCACTCTTCAAAGCCCTTTTCTAAGGTGTATACCTCCAGGAAAGCTCTCCAAGCCTCAAAAGTGTCATTCCAAGATTGAGAAGAACCATTCATCAGCTTGATATTCTCGTCTTTTAACACCTGTATGACTTCTAGGAATCCTGTTACGAAAGAGCTGTTTAGATATTCTTTGCTGTAGTTATTTGCTGTTTTTGAGGCATTCGAAAAAGAACCGGTAGCATTCATTGTCTGGGATAGAAGCTCAAGGTCGTGTATTCCAAACGTCAGGTCTTGGTGTAACCCTTTGACTGAAGAAATAAGGGTATGCAAAGATTTGAACATGTAGCTGAAGTACAAGTTTGTGTTGTCGACAAAAAGGCACGCGTACGGGTAATCCATAAAGCTCGAGTGCACAGAATGTGTAGGACCTGCTGAGTCTTCTGCAGCTGATCGCTTTTTTCTTGCGTGTTTTCCACCAAATAAGTCGACAATAATGTTCTTAGATGCCGAAGAAACTGAACGTTGCATCTGGTCGAAATTAAGAAGAAAGCGGACAGGCACTTGTTTTCCACTAAGTGTGCTTGCATTACTTTGCACAACAATCTGCTTGGCGTCCCCAGATACCACGGAAAGAGAAAAGTGCAGGTCGTCAACGTCTATAACTTTCCCATTATCCGAGGAATTCATAGCCTGCGCTATTTTCAACCCAAATTCAACAATTCGTCGAGTGTGAATCATAGAAGCATTTGTGATCTCCACAACTGAAAGTTTTTGTTTCATGTGTGCTTCTATTTGTTTCAGCTGAGAAACAGCGTTCTTATGAAGGACTCTGGCTTTTTCAAAAGAAAACGTCGCTTTTTGGACCCTCTCTACAGAGGATCTTAAAGACAAGAATTCCGATTGCAGTGTTTCATTCAGAGCATCCAGCCTGAACTTAAGTTCTGTCATGGATAGAAGACATTCCTCGTTGTCTAAGATGCACTTGGGGTTCATTACTTTAGTTTTACAACCATATTGCTTGCAGCATTGGTATGGCGGTCCGTATCCACCTGGCTTTGCCCTCATTGTGTGGCCATTGCATTTCACTTCCTTAATGATCTGCTCCACTGATTTCACTTTATATACTTTGTGGTCGTACTCCACAATTTGAGGCTCAGCTGGCACTTTTTCGTAAGTATTGGAGCAACCAAATATTGACTTCTTGAAAGCTCCAACGATACCTCCTATTACACCTCCAACAACAAAACCCACAGCACCGCCAACCGGACCTTTCAACACCTTTCCAATTGTTTTTCCAATTTGAGCCCCCTTTCGAGCATATTTGAAAACAGTTTTTATGGAGATGCCAGACCTACAGTTTCCAGTGTAGACGGTTTTATATCTAGGAACTGTGAAACTGCGTTTTTCAATCTCCCTCTGTATAACGTTAATTGTTATGGGCTTGTCAACTGTGTTGCATTGCCGTTCAAGATAAGTTATATTTATGGGATCCTGGCAAAGGTCCGGAGTGACACAGCCATTTAAACAAGTGTAATTACACTCTTGTATCTCACAAATGTAGCCTTGGACGTTCTCGCGAAAATAGAAGGTGCTATTAAACCGAAGTTTAGCGAGATGGTATTTTAGACGTGCAAGACGGAGTTCCTCAGCAGCTTTTTCTTTCCAGACCCTCAGTTTGTCCACTACTGACTGTTTTGACTTTAGGACGTCTTTAACGAAGTCTGCTTTCCTTTTTGCATCAACGTATGCTGAATGAGAGTACGCTAATCTTTGTGTTGCATCTCTCGCTGCCATGGTAGTTTCATTTTTTATCATCTTTTCGAGAAGGGAATGGAGGTATGACGACCTATTCATCCTACCTTCCACTCTAAATACTATGGAATCCCAGTCAACAACGTTATCAATTTGAGCTATGACATTTAAGAGTGCGTCAAACTCTCCAAACATATCGCCTGAGACGACAAAGGATAACTCACGTCCAATAATTTTTACCATTGCATTTTTCTTCATTCCAAGTAGGTGAACAACACCCTCAAAGGTTGTGGAAACAAGGTCGCGATCACGCGATAGGAACATTTTCAACGTCCCACCGGCTGGAAGTGTTATTAGACTACCAAGAGAGATTGTATCCAGAGCAGTTCCTTCAACAAGTAAACCAGCTTCTTGTCTTGATGGACTGGTGTGACAGTCGTTGCCATGTAATGACCAGATGCTTGAATCTATGTTTGCAAAGCAGAGCTCTTTGTGGCATATTTGAGCAGTCAAAAGAAATCGCAGACCTATAAAGTTCTGCTGAATAACAGACTTGGAGAAAGAAAGAGAGATAGCCCTGGGGAGGTCTGCTCTTAATTTAATGAGACGATCGATGAAACTGTTTATACTTGTTTGATTCCTGTAGGGCTGCAACTTAGCTATAAGAAGGTCAAACGCGCGAGATATGGTATCAATATCGTCATCTAGCTGCTTCACAAGCACTTTCAGCCTCAGCCAATCGGAAGCTGAGGACAGAAGGTGTCGAGCTTTGGTCGCATCAGCTAACATCTCGTCTGCCACTGCCTCCCACCGCTTTGTGTTGGATTGCAGTTGAGGTACAGTTCTTCCAACATCAAGGAGAGTTCGTTTAATTTCTTGGGCCTGCCACTCCACAAACCTCAGGTTGTTGCTATCGTCCTGTGCTGAGATAACGTCACCACCAGTCACTGAATGATAGATCTGCAGATATTTTAGTCCACCATCTGGCCTGATGATATAAGCCAATGGACTTGCTCTGAAAAGTTTTGAGGATCGTTTAAGAGCGAAAACGAATCCCTGAGGCACTCGGCAATCATCACTGAAACCTGATTCCAAAAACGTGATTCCTGCGACATTGAAAGAGAAAACATGTAATGTTATTTAACAAACCTTCAGTAGATTTACAAACTAATTGCTCTATTTCTATTTTTTTTTATCTTCGAAAATTTTTTAGTCTAAAACTGGTGAGTCACGTGGGTATTGCCTGTACGGAGCAAATTTGGCTATCTCGTCATCATTTACCAGATCTACTACACATAGGCGGTGATCAAGTGATGCGAAAAAAAAGGGCTTTAAGTCAATATAACAAGACATCTTAATAAGCCAGAAACTGTTCTACGTCATTCACTAAGTGCTTTTCCTAGGAGATATAGGATAAAATTCAGTAGCCATTATTTTTATCAACAGAACATTTCACACCTCCGAATGTTGCTTTCCCAATAACGTCGCTAGAGTAAAAGGTTAAAGGCAATGCTTCTCCAAGACTGTGAAGGGTGATGTTAAGCTCAACTGATCCATGGAAGACAAATCTTATTGGCTTCGATAAATAACTTGTAAATATCTACAAGAAAAAGATTAATAAGATAAACCGTAGTACGGCTATTATGTCCATAAAGCTTTTTCACAACCAATGGAAAATGGTCCAGCAAATTGAAAAATAAGAAAAGAAAGTTGGAAGTTGTGTTTTGCTAAAAGCTAACAGCTCTTGAAAGCGCTATACTTACGGCATCTAAGTTTTCTGTGAAAGCAAAAGCTTCTCCACTCAGTTTGATATTTACAGCCTGATCTGCGTTACTTAGATCAATGTTTGCAATTCCTTGCCACCACCAGTTATAATAGAAATCGGAGAAATTTCCAACCAAGTGGCCGTTTGGTACACTGCTTACAGAACTGTTGTATCTTCGTGGAGTGGTAAAACCAAAGGAAGACACCAAAACTTCCCACCCTCCAAAAGTTAGGTCTTGCATAAATTGCATGGTTGCAAATTTTTTCCTTGCCCGTTGGGATAACGTTAGAAAAACTCCTGGTTCACAAATGTCAGCAGCGAAACACGACCCTTTGCTTGACAACGAAAGACGATTGTTATCAACTGAGATGTTGAAAGTCACCATTGGACGATAAAGAACCAACGTGGTTTGTATGTGGACGGGAAATTTGCAGATTGTGTTACTGAGGTGGGCATCTGTTGTTTGAAAAAGGTTGGACTGAATGTTTCCCATGTCGAACAGGTTACTTTCCTCTCTAACCCGAAACCGTAACCACAACGGCAATTGATCCGTTAAGTATCTCAGGAAAGACTTCGAGAAGGCATCTTTTTGTATCATTTCAATGAGGTCTTTTCCTGTTAGTCCAATATTGTAACAATCCGGCCTTTGGTTGCTAAGTTGCCATCGATCTGATATATTTGTGAGCCCAATCAATCTTTCCATTATATCTTTTTCTAATGGAAGTGGCGAAGAAAAGTCATAACCTGCTATGCTAAGAGGGATAGTCCTGTTGTCAGATGTTATAATGTGGACTGGACCGGATTCAATTAAAGTTGGGGTTGATATGTTGGAGTTTGTATGAAAAGCTATTTTGACATCACATGCTAGGAATTTCTTCATGTCCATCCGTTGACACCCAACTGGTAACTCGCCCGCTAACAAACCAAGGCTGGTGTAAACACTATCTTGACTTGACACATTGTGGCCTATGAACACAACGCTTTTGCGTGGAGCCGTGAAATCATACTTGTTCACGCCATCAAGACTATATGTCACCATTCCAACCGCAGAAGTGTAACCGGTTATTTGGAACTCTACCTTTGATACCGGGTGCTGAATTACCAACTTCTCAGGCTGAATTGTCAAGTTCATGGTGGGATTTAAATTAACTGTCAATGAATTTTCTGGCTTTGCACCCATCTCCAGTTTCTCTGAGGGATGACCCGGAATCAGTTTGGGGAAATCAGGAGGCGTTACAACACCCCTTTCACACAGGTTGCCCTCATATCCAGTCTGCTCACAATCGCAAGAAAATTGTCTTGAACTGATAACTATGCACTGGCCACCATGACGACAAGGATTAGGTTTGCAGAGGATTATCTCTGAGAAAAAAAAGGAAGCATGTAGTTGGCTATCCTTTCTTTCGAAACAAAATAGAAATACATTGTAATCATTGAAACGTTACCAAATTGTCAAGTGTCTCTTCTTTTTATTTTTTTTTTATCCCTACATTTAATTGAAGGGATGAAAACACAAGTAGGGATGTTGTAAAATAATGCATGGACTTACAAACATTATTTCTAAACTAAACTGCCTTGCAAAACGCTCTCATCCCCATGTTTTCAAACACCAGAAACTTAGTACTCAAGGCCTGGATTAAGGCCTGGTCATTTGTGATTTTTTTGTAAATTTTCCAAAAACCATATATTGTCAAAGACATTCTCCAGGAATAATAGCGGAGTCCGCGCGCGAAGCGCGCCTGCGGAGCACCATGGGTAAATAAATCTACCCATCCCAGAAAATTTGGTAATCACGTAACCGACCAACCGACCGACCGACCGTCCGACCGTCCGTCCGCACCACAGGCATACCAATGTTTACTCTCACACTTTCTAGTTACGTTGGGAGCACAGGAGAAAGCCGACAGCACATCAATGTTGTCATTAATTGACAGCTGTCAAAACAGGGTATCCGCTGACCAGTATCACCTGACCGTATCGCGGGCTCAGGTGTCTACCCATCAAGGTCGAGTGTTTTTTTGAAGTTATCCGCTGACAATTTACTCGTTTTCAAATGATCGCAGGCTCACGTTTACTTTTTTTAAAATTCATATCAAATCTGTTCTGTTTATGTCAGTATCGTCCCGCACTATTACGATTTTGATTTCAAACTGACCTCAGACGCAAAAATTCAGCCAGTTTTTCTAGAATACAGGCGGGGAAGACCTTTTCTTACCATGGTCACGTGTCGATCACGCTCCACGTCCAACTTTTATGCTCTGATTGGTTAAAATTTGACAGGTGAGTTCATGCATAAAATTTATGCAGCATCTTGGAAGTTGTTTACTTTGACAGCTGAAGCTGACAGAGTTTGAGTCAACTTGTGATGTTTTTAACTGTCTTTTTCCACTGAATGTACAAAATGAAATACAGCTGCTATCAAGAGTGTTCTCTTATTCATGGCTGGTTTGTTTATTGGGTTTTTGGTTGAGAAATGCGTCGCTTGTCAAAGCCGCTATTCCGATTTCGGATGGCATCGTTTTTGTTTTTCACCTTGCTGGATGCGTACGAGAATTATAAAGGCTCAAGCGATCCTTGCCTTACTTGATAGCTTTCAGGAGCTGCATCTCGAATTATGGTAAGCCTGAGTAATTATTGTATTTAAATATAATTTCATGAAGTCCAGCGGCGCAGTTTATGAAGCTAGTTTATTTTATGCACGTTTGTATTAAAATTTGACTGAGACACTGACCTGACCTAGTATGAGGTTTGATATAAGCTTAAGCTTACAGAACTTTAAAAAGCCTTTAATCGATATTAATTCACCTTAAATAGAAAGAAAAGACTTTCCGAAGAATATTTAGTTATAATTTTGGCTGTTGAAAGAAAGCTTTTAGCGATTTTCTTGTCGTGAGTTCGTCTTTGAAAACAGCAAACACCGAGAAACCGGCGGCTTAAAACATAAACTTAATCTTTAATCTTACTAGTAAAGACTTGAGGATTCTTAGAGACACTTAAATACTCATTTGTTTTCGTGAATGAAAATTGTTGTCTCTGTAAATGTTCTACCGAATTATATTTCTTTATTGATTGTTGGTAGTCTCAAAAGTGTAATTTTCATCGCTTTGCCGTTTGTTTTCAGCCGTTCAAAAACATCGCTTGCAGGAGTACTCAAATTGCCGAGCGTATCAAACGCTTTTTAAGATTACACATCGTTATAAAACCATTGATAAAAAACAGACTCAATAAATTCTTTATCACGTTGAAGCGTAACTCTTTTAAAATTTCTTCGCAAATTTGGCGCTTGTCAAAAGTTAGAACCGGCTGGACGTATAGTTCATTTTGGAAATTTTTTGAATGGTTTCGCTAATTAAAAGTCCACGCTTGCTTCGATGGTCCTGAATATTGAATGAATTCAATTTGTCTTGAAAAATTGTGAAATACTGCATTTTGTACGAGGTCTGTATGACAAAAACAGCGCCTCATAGCCGTGACTCTTTCTCCTCAGATGTGGTGTATAAAAAAAATTAATAAAAGATTGGTTTGCACGCACCCAGATTTATTGGCAAGAATTTGTAAACTTGTCGAACGCAAAAAACTCGACCTGATTTGTTTTCCAAGAATTTGTTTTCCACGCCTTATCTACTGTGATCAAGAGCCATTATTTCTCTTAAATGTGACCGAAGACTATTTTTTGGGTGTACATATAAGGCTATATCAACTCGATACAAGATTTGTTTCACTCCAAAATCACTTAGCTTTTCCCTCAAAAGTCACAGGAATGTGCCCTTAAGTTAACTGATTTGTGGAAAACAAAATTATTGTTTGATTTAAGTTATAAATTTATCAATGGGAGCTTCGCTTTTAGCCGTGGCTAAATCTATATATTAGATGGTTAGGTAAACTGACCTTAAAAAAACTTGAAAAAAGAAATACAAATTATCAGGTCACGTGATCGACCACGCCCTTTTCGGTTCGAAAATTTCAACGAAGGATACCCACCACTTGCTAAATGTGTAGCTCCAGTGTGTCCTAGTCAAAACTTTGACCATACAAAGTGTCTACGAAATCAGCTCGGAAAGGTTGGAATCTTTACAAATTGTAGGTGAAATTGGTGTTCATTGACTAGTGCCAGCCCCGCTCTAACTAAGATTGTCGTTAGGAGAGAGACGTTGAATGACTTAGTCTCATTCCATCGGTTTTTACAAGAAGACTATCAGTAGCCACTGTTTGGACCTACAAAAGGAAAACGGTTTGCTTTCTACATAGTGGGCATTTCGACCCAAAAGATATCTCAATAAACAGGGCGTAGCTGGTCTCATAATGCAGTAATAAACAATTTTAAAATGAAATTTGAAGATTTCTTGGTTATGGTTAGCCTTTATTTATTAGACCTGGGATACCCGGGATACAAGCTAAAAAAGGGAGCGGGATCTTAAAAAAAAAATTTACATTAGACCACCCCAATTCTGAGAAATCTGTAAAGAACCAGGCCGTAATCTACTTGAGTAGAGTAAAGAAGCAGAGTACTTGTCAATGCAGTGAAAGCGTTAAGCACTTTTCTTAATTTTCGACAGTTTTTCTTGTTTAACCACCATCAGGTTGCGCTGTAGAAGCAGATGCACATCGTGTCATCATCACCACTATAATCATCATTTATTAGCCTTTGTGTTAGAACAAATTTTAAAGGAGACAGCAAGTTGTTAGGCGAGGAGACCTTTTAAAAGAAATGACTAGGATTATAGGATAGGCCACCTCGACATCACAATATTAAAAGAAATAAGGTCTGCGAAGGAGTGCGGCTAAGCTAATTCAGGAACTATTTTAATAAAAACGCAAGCACTTTGTTTTTCCTGTCTTAGCTCAAATATAAAGATAATATTTTCTAACGGTATGAAAAGGATAGGCTGTAACACTTTTATTTGATATAAGGATTCAAATGGACAGGGTTTTCACGTCTGGAATGATATCACATAACTTATTGAAACTTAACAATACTAACCTTCGCAAGTAAAGTTTCCTATGTCCCACTTAACTTCGCTTGAATTAGTCAGGCGGCAAGTAGCAAGATTACTACCAAGGCCAAAGTGGCCATCCATACAACCAAGTGTACATCTTGAGCCAAATGTAGAGTAACAAGGAAGATACACTTGTCCTCTTGCTGGAAGGTCTAGGCGACCACAACTTTTCACTGTGCACGGGTGATAAAACAAGAGTGAGGTGAGAGGGAATCGTTTGTTGACATTGCATAACAATTACCCAATGGATAGTAACGCTTAAATTTTCCAGTCAGATATGGCTAAGCTTAATTTTGTTGGTCTTGTCTCGTTATTTAACAATATAGGCTGTAAACAACAGTTTAACCAGGGATGAGTTTTACAGAGACCACGTCTTTGCTCACCTTTGCAAAATGTTTCATCACCGTCCCATTGTGCAGAATTCAGGCAGGTTCGTCTTTCAGAGCCTTGCATTTCATAGCCACCATTGCAGGAAAACAAGCAGGTCTCGTTGGTAACCAAGCCGCTACATGTCATGTTTCCATTAGGTGGGGCCTTGATAGCCTCGCAAGGAAGCCCTTCTCAAAAAAAGTAAGGATTAATGTTACAAATGCCTAGTGTTGGAAATCAGAAGAGAGTGTTTTTTAAGACCCTTGGACTGGCTGCTTAGACAAGGAATAGTTTTCCCTATCGCCCAATGTAAGGGAATCCGGATTCCGCAATGTAGGAAATTTTTCTTGTGGAAAACAGAATGAGTTCGTGGCTTCGGAATCCGGTATGTAGCTCAAGGAATCCTGACGATTGGAATCCGACTGGAACCCTTTCAACTGAGAATCCTAAATTCAAGCTCAACTGAGAGAGAATCCGGAATCCAATCTTGGATTACCTTACTTGGGGCGATCCCTACGTGCGTTTCAGCATTAGGTTGGATCAGTTGTAAGCAAAGGCATTGCATCTCTGGTAACAAATGCCTGTGACAATATTACAATCCTGAAAAAACTCTTGGGACAATTTTTGCGAATGTGGCGCTTTTTTTAACATCACACTCCCAGCCGCCCTCTTAATGTCACATACAAGATTGACCTTGTTTGTCGGTTGTAGATATTTACTTCCCCGTTTCGCGCAGTGTGTTACGGTGGGTTATACTAAAGAGGCAATGTGTGAGCGTCAGGCGGCATTTAAGATTATGTTTTATTCAAAATCAGAAAGAAAACGTTAAGGCGTTCACCTTCACAGGTTCTCATGTCCGGTTTAAGCCTGTATCCGGACAAACACGAGCAACCATAAGATCCAGGTGTGTTGTGGCAAATGTGCTGACAAGAGTGGCTTCCTGAGAGACATTCGTCTACATCTGTGTTGTTCAAAAATTAAAGTTAATGGTTTGTGTTCAAAGATCACAGCAATTATCTGCCGGAGATCGACAAGGTAAATAAAAAACAGAGGCGTTATGGGGTTTACAAATGTCTTAAATAATACCTCGGCATCGTTTTCCATCGTAGAGCAGACCGTATCCACGGTTACAACTGCAGGTGTAATTCCCTTGTGTGTTGTGGCAAAGTTGGTCGCACCCAGCAGGAATAATGGTTCTGTTCAGGCTGGCCACATAAACTGGAGCACACTCATTCACGTCTGAAAGAATTAAAGTACGTTAATTTTACTTATCTGTTACTGATTACCGTATAAATACGGGGGGTCTTGAAAAGAAAATATATGGCCTAATGCAACTCTGTTCTTGACCACGCTGTTGTTCCCAAACGTGATATTCTACAGGTTCTGCTATCGGCTCAAAGCCTAAACGTTCCCATTTTGCAATTTTTTTGCATCAAATTATTGATGTACCTGTTTTTTTTTTTCGGAGATAACGTTTATCAGCTATGAGTAAAACCATGCAATAATTCCATTGCCTTTCACTCAGTATCATTAGCTGACGTACTAGCTCAGTTTTTCAGTTCAGAAAATTAATAGTGAGTAAAGGATTTCGGCGTTTTTAGTAATTTATATCTTACCGATAAATAATTTGAGTCCACCCTCTACTTATTGGTTATTAGTTTGCTCTTTTAACATGCACAATTCGAACGCATACCTGAACAAGTTTTATTGTCTCTGTTTATCGCATATCCAGAAAAACATGAACAGAAAAAGCTTCCAAGAAAATTGTTGCACCGATGCTGACATCCATGGTGGCTCGACATACACTCATCATGATCTGAAATCCAAGTCAGAAAAAGTATGGGTCACTTCTTTGTGCCATTCATTACTTTCTCATTTAGCTTTAGACGAGGGGTACCCTCCACGTTCCCTTTTACAACGTTCAGTGATCATAAGAATGAGCCCATAATAACTGGTAAAAGTTTGGAAAGCACAAGACTAGAGATTAATTTTTATCACCTTCTAGGCCAAACAAGTAGGGATGTCAGAATCGATTACGCCTCTACTACGATAACTAATAAAAAAGAGTCAGACCCGTAGCGAGGCTAAAATAAGTGAACTTGTTGGTGGGAGGGGACGGGGGAACAAATTGGTCTAGTCAAAGCTACACCAAAAAATAGACATGGAAAAGTTTCATTTCACGATGGACAATTATACTTTTTGCAATGCCACAGATTGTGTTGACTTCCTGTCATATAATATTCTTTTTTGTTATATAAACACCAATGAAATACCAAGTGAGCTTTTTCGCGAGAACTTGATATCTTTACATGTGAAAATAACATGTTGTCTTCCCATCTGAAAATATCACCTTTGCTATGGCTACATAATAATTCGCGCCTTTCATACTAAAAAACTATTAAAGTGAAATGGTTTGGTATTTCATTGGTGTTTATATAATAAATAGAACATTACATGGCCGCTTGGAGATACGAAATTTCTCTTCTCCTGTTGAAAAATTATTTCACTAGTTCGCTGCGCTCACTCGTGAAATATTTTTCAACAATCGAAGAGAAATTTCGTATTTCCACGCGGCCATGTAATATCCTCTATATATTGTAGAAGAATTGTACGTCTAGTTGTATTGGATACATCTACAAAGTCTAAAGCCCATTCCACCTACAGTTTATCTAAAGAACAACTTGAGTATTAATTGTTACGTTCCTTTTGTTTGTCTTACTTTAAATGAAAGATGCTGAAATACACTTTGGTCAATCATTTTCCTTTTAACTTTTATTAATTCGAACCAATAACGACAACATCCCTCTCGTTATGTTCTTACATCTCAAATTGTTCCCGAGATAAACTCCACATTGGCTCTTGTTTAACTCGTTAGGACTACTCTATAAATGTAGGTAAGGAGCAGCAAGCGAAATAATTATAAGGTTTAATTGGCTGCTTAAGTCAAATAACGTCATCCTGAGAAAGAGCATATAAAAATTACCTGAGCAAGTTCTGCCATTTGAATCCAAGAAGAATCCATGATTGCAGCGGCATGAATACGAGCCTTCAGTATTGATGCACTGTTGAGCGCAAAGCCCGTTACTGGACAAGCATTCATCAATGTCTGCAGGCGAAACAAATACGCTATTTATAATGGTACTTCTGCGAGGGCATACTGTATATGAAACGTTTACGGAAGATTTTAAAATATACATTTGATTTTGTGCCAATATCGTTGCCAACGAACAGGGCGTAGCCTTTTTAACCAAGTACCAGGCACCTGTAGTTACTTGAATAAATATTTTTTCGAGTCTAGAGCATTGACAGCAATCGATAAACAGATTTCACATTTCTTATCTATTTATACCTTATTAATATTCAATAGACTTCGCGCATAGTATATAAGCATGTGTTAATTATTCACAGTTGTCAGTTTGAAACACGTTAGTTGGAGTCGCCTCACCGTTTCGGGTGCGCGTCCGTCCCCACGAGGTCGAATGCTCGAGTCATGGTCCAAGAGATATTTCTTCATCTTCTTCAAGGCTCAGCTCGTGCCACTTATTTGCTCGACTTTAACTTCGTCGACATCGCAACCTGTTTTGCAAGCTTAGCGGCATCCGAAGATGATAGACATTCGAACTGCGAAAATTCCACCACGTCTGATGTACTAAACTCGACAGAACACCCAGGTATTTTCAGTTTTCGTTGTTGGATTTGCATTGGTCTAGGGAGCCTTATGTTTGGTCTTTTGCTGGTTGTTTTAATTCTCATTTAGTTTGTTTGGACTAGTGCTGGGAAACCAGTTTTTATTTTCGTGCTTTTACCACGTGCTGGGTAATTTATTCGCTTTTATTCTCGCACGTCTTTCTTTTTTTTTTTTTTTTTTTTTTCTCTGCAATCTTGCGTTGTGCACTATTTTGTTATTGTAGTTGTGCTTCTTTTCTTGGATATTTGGTAAATCAGTTATTTTATATTTTTGAACACTTGTTCATTTTGGTTGAGGACCGGCTAGTTAAAATCTTAAGCTTCTGTGTCTTTGTGTCGCCAGGTGACGTGGCTTTCCTTTTGAAAAGAGGAACCTAGTTTGAGCGACGAGTTTGGGAGCATTGCCCAGTGTGCCACGTGGTGCTGCGATATTTTCTACGGAGGACTCTTTGCCTATCAGATGGTGGTTACAAGAGAGAAGAGACGAGATAACGTTTTGGTCGAGGGCTAAAAGAGTGGCGTTGCGGTGCCACGCGGTGGCATTAAAAAAAACAAAAAAACATCGGTCGCGGTCCAAGAGCGGTGTCGCTCTGTGCCACGGGGTGCCCCCTTCCCGCTCTTTACTTGCGCCATTTCCTCATTCTTTGCTCCTAAACCGCACGGAAACGCTTGCTACGCGGGCTAAGGCGGACCGAGAGAGCAGTGTCACTCTGTGCCACGGGGTGGTGTTGAAAAAAAAAAGGATCGGTCGAGGACCGAGAGAGCGGTGTCGCTCTGTGCCACGGGGTGGCGTCAAAAAAAAAAAAAAGGAGAGAGATCGGTCGCTGACCGAGAGAGCAGTATAGCTCTGTGCCACGGGATGGCGTTAAAAAAGAAAGGAGAGAGATCGGTCGCGGACCGAGAGAGCAGTATCGCTCTGTGCCACGGCATGGCGTTAAAAAGAAAGGAGAGAGATCGGTCGAGGACCGAGAGAGCAGTATCGCTCTGTGCCACGGGATGGCGTTAAAAGAGAAAGGATCGGTCGAGGACCGAGAGAGCGGTGTCGCTCTGTGTCACAAGGTGGCGTTAAAAAAAAAAAAAGAGGAGAGAGAGAGATCGGTCGCGGACCGAGAGAGTAGTATCGCTCAGTGCCACGGGGTGGCGTTAAAAAAGAAACAACGGAAAAAAAAAATGATCGGTCGAGGACCGAGAGAGAGGTGTATCGCTATCCCTCGATTCGGTATAAATAATGCATTATAAGGTAGAAAAGAACGCAACTCGAAAGGGGTTTGGGAGGGATCTGAGTCTAGAAGTCTTTGCTGTTTCCATTAATAAAACGAGGACCGTTCTTTGGGACGGACGCGCACAGCTCGGTGCTCCATACCGTTGGACAGCCGAAAGTCATGGCTGAACTGTGCTTTAAAGCGGGCCATATTTAGCATACTTGCCCAGAGGAACGGGCGGAGGAGGCCTGGTTACCGTGATTGCCATATATACTTGATCGTTTCGTTGGGTTTATCGACAAATTTAAGCATATAGGCACTATTTTGAAATACCTTTTTTTTCTAGTTTCTCTGTGGTCTCGAGGTTGGAGAAGTGACCCCACAAGCGTTTTGCCTATAGGCATGCCCTTGAGCCCGATTACTCGGGCTATGGTGGTCATTTTCTCCGAGCTCGGGTTTGCAGTCTCTTCACGATTTGTGATCTTTTGATCGTTTTCTTCTCGGTAACTCTCGGTGAAGAATCGCCGATATTTGTGCCTTTAACGTTACTGAGAGTAAGCAGATACAGACATGTTTAATATCTCTGGATGTAAATGCTAGGTGTCCTGTGCACTAGGCCCAGTCTGCGCCGAGGTGTTGTCATTCGACACTAGCTCAAACCTCGGCATACATGTGCTTTTATCGCTTGTTATTTTCGCCTTTATTTCTCGGATAAGGATCGTTTAACTAGACTCACATCGAAGGAATAGAACATTACGGAAGCATTACGGATATTTCGGCAGTTTTCAAGGTTACGGATAGAGACACTTGCTTGTTTGTAAGGATTTCTTGTACGGTATTGTATTCGAACGGTGTGCTGAGCGTAGTTGATCGGATCGAATAAAACGTGGAATTGACATCGAATTGACGGCTGTTACAGTTTGACCTACAAACGAATCACATGGAAGGAGACAAGGAAGAAGATTTACAAGGGAAAACGGAGTTCCCTGATGAAGAGAAGCTTTGCACTTGGCGCGAAGTCGATATGGATCTCGATACAATCTGCTCGTCACCTCGTGCGATATCGCGGCTGACCGGTTTATTGGCTCAAGAAACTCACATGGACGTGCGAAAACGGATTCCTACAGAAAGGGGTAGGCAATTTGAGATTCAAAAGTTGAAGGAAAATCGGAAAACTGCACTTGCTAATTTAACTAAGCAGATGAACTTAGTCTCACCTTTGTTAACGGATTTTGAGAACGAAAAACAAGTGCGTACGGAAGTTATTCATTTAGATCAGCTATTTGTTAAAGTACAAGAAGCACATGACGCATATCTCAAGGCCTTAGATGATAATGATGAAATTAAATTAGCTCTTGAATGGTTTGGCACTCGTGATAAGGATGTGCTCCAGCTAAAGCAAAGGATTATTGGCTTTTTGGATGATGCAGATAAGCTACGTGGCGGTTTACGTGATACACACTCAGTGAAATCTAAGTCATCTCGTCGCTCAAGGCACTCCCTTTCCTCGGTAACGTCTGCTAGGTTAAAGTTAATTGAAGCGAAAGCTAAAGCTGCAGCGTTAGAGGTTAAGGCGTCATTTCTAAAAGAGAAACAAGCATTAAAAATGGCTACTGAAGAGCTTGAGCTTAGGCAGCAAATCGCAGAGGCAAAGGCAGAAGAAAAAACTTATGAGAAATTCGAGGAGGAACAAAATATTGACGGAATGGACGAAAACTTGGAAGATGTCGAGGTTAAACTCACTTCTACTACCATCTCACCTGGGGTACAATCTAACGATCAGGCTACACTAAGGGTGCCTTCTGTGAAGTTCCAAAGTTCAGCTATTGTTGGTTCAACGACCACTCCTGTAACCACCCCAGCTTTTGTCAGTGCTGCTAGTATGAACCCAACTGCCCGACCCTTTGTTTCAAAGAGTGTTCCCATTAAGGAAGAAGAGTATAAGGACAAGTACGAAACCCCCACTGATTATAAGCTACCACATGTTAAAAGGGAATGTACGTGCAGTTTCGGAAAGGATTCAAGCTCTGTGGAAGGTACAGGGTTAGATCAAAACTATCTTGACATTCAAAGGAAGCAGGCTGAACTTTCAGAAATGATTGTTACCCAACAGGCTAGGAGTCTCCTACCTAGTCACAAGCCACCTACGTTTTCGGGAGACGTTATGTCATACCCAGCATTCATAACAGCCTTTGAAACTCTCATAGAATCTAAGGTAGATGATTCTAATGAGCGCTTGTACTTCTTGGATCAATACACTAGTGGAAAGGCCAAGGAACTGATAAAGGGTTGTTTACAAATGAAAGGCGAAGATTCGTACAAGGAGGCTAGACGGCTTTTGAAGAAACATTTTGGTGACTCATACAAGATTGCAAGTGCATACATCGCCAAGCTGTCGAGGTGGCCCGCTGTTAAGCCTAACGACGGAACAGGGTTACAAGAATTTTCTATTGTCCTTGAGCAAGCAAGGAACGCCATGACAGGCATGCAATACATGAACGACTTGAACACGGCCAATGTTATGCGCCAGTTATGGGAAAAGCTGCCGCGATATCTACGTAGTAAGTGGACTGAAAGAGTTAGCAGGATTAGGAGTGTCAAGGGACAGACAGCTAGCTTTAATGACTTTTGCCAATTTGTATCAGAGCAAGCCGATTTAGCGACAGACCCAATCTATTCCGAGGAAGGCATAAGTAAACCGATGAACGCAGTTGACAAGTACCATAAACAGAACGAACGCAAACCCAAGAGAGGAAGGGGTACCAACTTTGCAACAGGCTTGGCAGGAAAGAATGCAGGTGGAGGAAATTCTCACCCCATCAGCTGTACATTGTGCTCTAAGGCGCATCATCTGGACGAATGTGCTGAGTTTCTTAAAAAACCGCTAGTGGAGCGGAGAAACTTTATCAAACAGAAAGGCTTATGCTTTGGTTGCTATAGTTGTGAACACATTGCCAAGCTTTGCAAAAGTAAAAGAACCTGTCAGATCTGCAATAAAAAACACCCAACGTCACTCCATGATTACAGTTGGAAATCAGAAGAGGTGAAAATGGAAAGTGGAAACGGCCAACATGAGAAACCGGAAGCCAGTAAAAAGAAAACGGAAGAGCGAGTCGTTAACGTGTGTACTGCAATTTGCAATGTGACAGATGCCGGTGATGTTCCAGTTGCTATGGGTATTATCCCAGTATGGTTGTACCACAAGGACAATCCAAACAATAAGATATGTGTTTTCGCCCTCCTTGATAATGCCAGTGGTGGAACATTCATTAAGGAAGACTCGTTAAGAAGGCTTGGTGTTAAAGGAAGTGAAACCAAACTTTTGCTCACTACTATGCATGGTACCCAAGAAGTCGATACTAAAGCGGTAGATGGGCTAATGGCTTCCCACTTTCAAGAAAACGACGTTATCGTACCCCTACCGAGAACCTACGTCAGACAACGGATTCCAGCAGATCGTGATGAGATTCCTCGTCCCGAAGAGCTGCAAGGATGGTCACATTTGCAGATGGTTACGAAACACGTACCTCCTCACATGGAAGACGTAGAAATAGGACTCCTGATCGGACTAAATTGCCCTAGTGCAGTGCGACCAAGAGACATTGTTTGCGGGAATGAGAATGAACCCTATGCAGTAAGATCACTACTGGGATGGCACGTAAACGGTCCTGTTAACCAAAAGAGCAGTAAACAAGTACATTGTAACCATATTCAGATTCTTAAGAGCAACACAGAGGATAACGTGAATGGGTACATCGTTGCTATGACAGAGATTAAGGAGCGGCTAACCCCTCAAGTGGTTTCTCGAATGTTTGAGGTGGACTTTGCCGAAAGGGAATACGGAGTCGCATTATCAAGAGAAGACCGCCAGTTCCTGAAGATTGTAGAAGATGGAATCCATCATAGAGATGACATGCATTACGAGATGCCTCTGCCCTTTAGAGAAAAGAATGTACAGCTACCCAATAACCGTCCTCAAGCAGAGCAACGCCTGCACGGCCTTAAGAAGAGACTCCAAGGCGACGCAACGGTATCGTGCTGACTACGTCAGATTCATGACTGAAATCATAGAGAAGGGATATGCTCGAAAGGTCAAGGTTGAAGAGCTACCCCATCAAGAAGGAAAGGCCTGGTACTTACCTCACCACGGGGTTTACCACCCCAAAAAGCCAGGCAGCATACGCGTAGCATTTGACTGTTCAGCTCGTTACCAGGGTGAATCGCTGAATGGCCACCTATTGCAAGGGCCCGATTTAACAAACAAGCTCACTGGGGTGCTCACAAGATTCAGAGAGGAGAAGGTAGCCTTCATGGCTGACATAGAGAAAATGTTTTTTCAAGTCAAGGTTCCAAGGGAAGATCAAAACTTCCTTCGCTTCTTATGGTGGCCAAATGGAGATTTAACTCAAGAGCCTCAAGAGTACTGCATGACAGTGCACCTCTTTAGAGTTGGTTCATCTCCAGGGTGTTCTAACTTCGCCTTGAAACGTACAGCCGAAGACGGTGAAAGAGAGTTTGGTGCAAGAGCTGCCGAAACATTAAGGAAGAACTTTTACGTCGATGATGCCCTGAGTTTGGTACCGACAGAGAAGGACGCTGTAGAACTAGTACAAGCTGTTAAAGAGATGTGTGCAAAGGGAGGGTTCAAACTAACGAAATTTGTCAGCAACAGTAGAAAGGTGATGATGTCAGTACCTGCTGAAGACAGAGCAAAGGAGATCAAGGGCCTAGACCTAGGCAGTGACAAGTTACCAATAGAGAGAGCATTGGGTGTAGAATGGTGCATTGAATCGGACGCATTCAAATTCAGGATAGAGTTGAAGGACAAGCCGTGCACCCGTAGGGGTATACTGGCAACTATAAGCTCGATCTTTGATCCTCTCGGGCTGATTGCGCCCGTCGTCCTTTTGGAAAGCAGATACTTCAAGAGATCTGTCACGGAAAAGACTGGGACGAGCCAATCGAGGGAGAAGTTCTTGCCAAATGGGGAAGATGGAGAAGTCAGTTACCGCTATTAGAGCAGCTGAACATCCCAAGAAACTTTCAGCCTCCTGATTTTGGAAGCATTGCCACTGCTCAGCTACATAATATGTCAGTTGCGTCTCAAGTCGGGTACGGACTTTACTGCAATGGTAACCAGAGGTGGGTTGAAGTCATGAACCACGAGTTTCGGTGGGAACATCCCCACCAGGGAAACAGATCTGCTTTTCGAAGATCTGTTGCCCCCGAAGATTTTCACTTAAAGGGAACGTCAGATGTTCCTAGATCTCTAAGTCGGCTATGCACGGGTCGTGAGCAGTATGAGACAGCTTTTAAGCTCGCTTTTTACTTCTGGCCTTTAATATTTGGTCTTTAAAGTGGCGTAATAGTACACTAGAGTCAGCATTTTCAATCGTTTTGACTGTGCTTCAGAAAGAGTCATAATCTTTAATATGCATTGTGTGGACGTTTTGTTTTGTTCAGTTGACAACCCCCTTTTCACGAAAGACTGCAGATTTTGCTGAAATCGCATCGTTTTATAGGAGGGGAGCCATATCCTCTTCCCTCGCCAAGCGATTTAAGAGCCTAAGCCGGCTTACTCATTGCGGCTCACTCGCAATGCTAGGACAAAGTTAACAAGGATCACATGGGTTGGTGGTCCCCGTTCCATAATCCAGTGCGCCTCGCGCACCTAACCATGCTGAGGCAGCCGACGCGTTAAAATAATTGCGTAAATACTAATGCGTACAATACCGTGTAACAGGTGTAAGAGGGGGTTGACTGGCCTGCATGACTCCCCGCGCCCGGCGCGTGTTTTAGCCTTTTCATAGTTTGGCTCCTATGCTGGTATGTCTTTGAGCAACTGTTCTCCTTTGTACGATATGAGAGGCGGACTCTTGCAAATTTCGCTTGTTGTTGTATTCAATGCTAGTTTCTCACGCGACTTTGCTTTAGGTTAGGCACTTAGTGTGACGGTATTGTGTGACTCACAAAAGACAAGATTCGTAGATTTCACTTTTATGTCGAAGGGCAAGTTTTCTGTCTCAAAATTTATTTATGACAGGGTCGTACGTGTGAGATCTCGTGTAACCTCTCTCTAGCAGATGTGATTTGCACGACTCGAACGAGTCGTACCACTTGAGAGGGTTCCCTCACGACAACTTTGCCAACCAAGTCTTTGTGTCGCTAATGAGATGCGTGTTCTCCAATTGTACGTGCAAGTGAGATGCATTTTCACTATATGTCATACCTAAGTTATCACACGGAAATCACCCATTCACGACTAGCACCAATCGCATGAATTGAAAGGCTGATCTAACCACTTTTACCCTTCGTACAAGTTGAAGCGCACAGAAACACACACACCACGACTTTCACAATTTGAACAAGTGGCGAGTATTGGACAACCCTCATTGACTTGTGGCAATTTGTTAAGATTTTGTTGTATGGGTTTGGGGATTAGTTAGGGTTGGGAAAGTTCAATTTAGTTAAGGATTGGGAAGGGTAAGAGTTCATCATGGTGTTTATGTTAGGATTATGTAGGGGATTCTACAGCGATAGGCGCAGTCTGGGGTGACTTCCCATAACGAAATGCTAATAAGAATGCAAGAAGGATATTGAACTACTTATACCTTATTAATATTCAATAGACTTCGCGCATAGTATATAAGCATGTGTTAATTATTCACAGTTGTCAGTTTGACTAACTTTAGTTGGAGTCGCCCCCACCCACCCGCCCCTTCTGCTTACTTTATTAGCACCTACGTGTCTTCCCCATCGAGCTTGCTCGTCTGGGGTGACTTGAACTGTGCAGGGCTTGCATTGAATAAATGAATATTTAATTGAACACCCTCTGTCTTTCCTTTTGAGGCTTTACGAAATTAATAAAAAAAGAATTATTTCCCTTGAGACATTATAACATGACCAGTTCAAAAAAAATTCCGCAAATGGCACAAGATGAATACATTATTTAAAAGCGTAGCGAATGAGAACTCCAACAACAACTCCAGTCACTTGAAATCGAAAGCAAGGGATTTTGATTTGTTTTTAATCAAACGATATTCGCTTTCAGTTATGCGGTCGCTAGTTGTGCTGGACACGTCAGGAGGCCATAATCTCTCCAATCAATTTTTGACAGAGATAATCAAATTTTCATCAATTCATTTCCAAGTAGGTCATTTCAGGGACTGAGAGACTTCACATTGCCCATTGCAACTTTTAAGTCTTTGCATTTTTCTTTACCTTCGCATCGGCTTTCATCACTGGCTGTCACGCGAAAGCCCCGATAACATCCACAAGAGAATTTCCCCGGAGAGTTGTTACAAATCTGTTCGCATCCTCCATTCCCAGTTAAACATTCGTTGATATCTGCATGAAGAACAAATTCAGAGACAGAATGTTTTTTTTCTAAGGCGAACTGAGATTGAGAAGCCAGAAATTAATGTATTTTTTTTTTAAATAACGACCTCTTACTATTTAGTCACAAAAAAAAATAAATTGCAGTGAGATTCGGAAGCTGGAAATTCCTAGATACTATTATTAGATGATATCAAAATCAAATTAAAGAAGACATTTATTGACACCCCTAACACATTCGACATAGAAAAACACTTTCTTCTCACAAGAAAGTAGTAGTTTTTACCGTCGCAAATTGTTCCACCACTTCTAAGCTGGAATCCTGGTGCACAGGAACAAATGAAGCTGGGCACAAGGTTGATACAGTTCGCACCACAAGGCTCGCCGCTTACACCGCAACTGCAGGGACTGGGAACTATTGTCAGGCACTCGTTAATATCTGAGAGGAAATGAACAATAGTCATAAAAGAAAGTAATTCACCTTGATTGAAAACCTGGGTACTCCTTGAATTTTTGATGGGGCGTGCCACCGGAACCCTTGGCCTATTAACTAGACCATGTTATGCTGCATTTTGTAACTCTATTTAGAGAAGACACTATATCACTGCATGCCAGCCTCGTTCCCAGGGAAAGAAAAGGGGCCCATCTGAGCCTAGTTGCCAAGGAAAGAAGAGAATCTGGTAACGAGGTTGACTGCGTCCCAGATTACCGATACTCTACGATTTTCAATAAGACTGCGCTATGCTTGATAAAATAGTTTTACTGAGTTGGCCTTTACTTACTTGAACAATTAAGGCAAACGGTTTCAAATGTTTCGGATGCTAGAGCTTAATTTGCTGGCATAGAATCGCATTTATTGTATTCGTGGGTGTAACTCATAACATGAAGGGCTAAGAAAAATACCAGAGTATTTCTTATACAGAAAAAGAAAATTTGAAACGCATATTTAGATCTAGATGTTGCAAAAAGAGAATTCTTTTCAGATTTGCGAGTGTTAAAACTGAAGTAAAATATATAGCCATCTGCCAGTTATAAAAGTGATAACAATAGTGAATATACCATGGCATCGATGACCACTTTTGGTGTATCCAGGATTGCAACTGCACTGATAAGAACCCTGTGTGTTAGTGCACACTTGATCGCATCCACCTTTGTTTACAGCACATTCATCTAAGTCTATGGAGCGAAAAAAACTGCATTTAAACTTAACAAAATCAGCCACTTGAAATTTAAACTAGTGATCTCTTTTTTTTAAGCAATTTTGCAATAATGTGCACATCCTTGGATACGATAGATAAAAGAATATAAAAAAGTAAGTGACTAATCACGCGATAAAAAAAATAAAATTTAGTGAAAAAATGGAGGCAAAAACGTGAAAATGGACAAACACAACGGGGCAACTAAGGAGATGATGACGATGATGATAATGGTGAAGAAGGTGGCGTGGGTAATGAAAAACATGGAAAAAATCATTTTCGTCTCATTGTTTTACCAATATGTACAAGACTGAGGCCTTGCCGTAAGTCATGCATGGTAACGCTTATGAGATTCATCCCTTCGGCGTGATAGACGAAGTGTTCCTAAGCCCCTAACTCACCTAAACGCGAGCAATTCTGTGAAACATGATACCATATGAAAATTACAAATAATTGGGAGTAATATGAGGTAGATGAGGTCCGACTCATGTAGATTTCTGAACACAATGCAACCAGCGGGAAAGTTAGAATACCTTGCGCACAGTTGTTACCAGTCCAACCGGATTGACACTGGCAGTTATCGGGTGCAACACAGCTCCCGTGACTGGGGTGACATCCTTGAGAACATATCGCTGATATATGGAAAAGAAAAGGAATATTTGAGCAAATTATCTGTTAATATCTAGTTTATTATCCTGGATTAAACAGAAGGTTATCCTTCAAATTATTCATTACAACATAATTAGGATCTCTTAATCAAAATCGACTCCCTCTAGGAATGAGTAACTCAAAAACCACACCCCATTCCGCGGCACGTATTCATGTATCTTACATTTGAAGGTAGGCTCTTCCCGGGGGTTACTTTGAGCTCTTACCCTCCGTCAAATATTTTGCTCTGACTAACGGCTTGCGTTAGAAACGTCAATTTTTCATCCATTTTAAGACGATAAATGGACTGTATCGACTTAGGTGAGAAAACCATTTTTTTTTGTTTCACTGCCCGGCCAACGCAGCACCTCAGTTTCTGTAGACGTTATACCCTTCTTTTATAGAAAACATAATGCTGGGAAATTTTAAAGTACCTGTTAATAAGTAAATACTTACTAACTCATTTGCTTATGTAGCCCATTTCATTCCCATCTAGTGTTCAGTGCTTAGTGAATAAGGGCCTTTTTACATGGAGGTGGAGGACCACAGGTAAGTGAGGTAACATGTGGCGGGTCACCCAGTCTAACATGTAAACGTGATCATATTAAAATGAGAGATTATATGGACAGGCGGGTTACCCCACCTAAGCGGGTTACCTCACCTACCTGGGGTTCCCCACCTCCATGTAAACAGCCCCTAGTGTAATTTATGATGGCTGTGTGAACAAGGGCCATACAGTTATCTCATTCATTTTCACTTTTAAACTGTTAGTTAACTTAAGTGATTCACACTTTTTGATCTGTATCAGGTAAGATGACAGTGTGAGCAAGGGCCATACACCCCTCACATTCATTCAAACATGTACATTTCTGTTGGTTACACTGATCCATCTCAGTAAGCAGGGCTTTGTAAACAGCCTTACCATTCTATTTCTATATGTTTACGTGCATAACCTCCATTGAAATAAACTGGTGGAACTAAGCTGTAAGTGACAGTGACAAAGAATGTAGACAATGTCCTATTGCTATGAACGCACATGAGCCGTTATGGCTCTAGTTGACTCTATTGTTGTAAGGTGTTTACGGTTGGATGATTATAATACAGTATATTCATCTCAGCTCTCGCGCATTGACCTTTTTTATTTTTAATGTCATATCTTTCTTACTTTTTACCCCCAGAGGTTTTATGTGACTGCATTGGTTGGGCGATACGTTCCCAATTTTTCCCATGTGGTTTTTCGGGTTTTCGTATCAGGCGGCGCACACCCTTTTTCCATTGTACATTTTGATTTGTAGGTACCAGTAGTTTCTGTTGGCGGTCGTCTTGCTTTGGCCTCGGGTGGGGCAGCCCTTTTATGTGCTTTAAAAACGGCCACTCCCGTGGCCAAAATATCCCATAATGGGTTTGTGATTATTTTGTGTCCCAGCAAACAGAGCTCGCCAAAAGCGAGACTCCGCCAACATCAATACCTTTCGTAATATGCTTGTATGTTATGACTTGTATATTATTAAATGTATGTTCTTAGACTCTTAGTTTTAATTTATTGACGTACATCTCATTTTTTAGAACTTTAATAACCATGTCTATAAACTTTTAACTTGTAAATAATAATAATTATTTTTAATAGTGATTTTAGTCTAACAGGGCCCTCCTGTAAATCACTGGTTTACCTAAAGCTGGCATCCTCAATAAAGATTATCATCATTCAGTTTGAAGAATATGGGGCTTTTATATAGAGCGGTTAACATGATTATAGGGAAGTAATAATCAGAGCATACATTAGTTACTAGTAGAAGGTCTGGTGTTGCGAAAGACGGCAAACATCAAAGCTGATAAGAGCAACAGTGCAGCTGTGAATTTATCATTCGGAACTCCCTGACGGTACACTGTCCTTTGTTGTTTTGTTCACAGATTATGACGGAATAAATTAAGGAGGAGTTTTTATTGGTCAGAAAGATCAAAATAACAGGAATGCTATTGAACGTTGTGTACCGTCACGTTCACAAAAATATGAACCAAACAAACGATTCCAAACGAGCAAAGGCGTTTTTGAGCGACGCACGTCAACAGGAATAACCTGCAATCACGCTTTCCTTCTTCCCTTTTTGTATGGGAGGCCAAAAGGAAAGTTTTCATCCCCTTTTCCGTCCGCCGATTTACGCTCTTTCTGCGAAAAAAGAACGCCTCATCGCAGGTTACAACTGGAAGTGATACAAAATAGGCCACTTCCCAGTTCCAAAGACCCCCACTTTTAAAATGAGGCTAGGTGCCAACCTTTCTTCTGAAAATGAGTTTTATTTGCATGAGAATGAAAAATGATTTCCATATCAAATGCTGAGCCCCTACCCTCGTTTTGAAACAGAGGCCCGGGGAACTCGGAAATGGCCTTGTCGTATCGCTAAGTGTCTTTTCCCTTATCGGGGCGATTTGCCTGAAAATTTTGGCCAAACCACTGCACGAGAATGCAAAACAACTTCTTCCGACTGACGTGTTTCATTCAAAATCGCCTTTGGCTAGGGTCCCTATTGTAGCAAGAGTCTCTTGAATGTACCTTGTCTACATTCTCTCGAACTGGAGTAAGCCTTCTGCCATCCACTACAGCAAAAGAGGACCGTCAAAGAGATGCTTCTTGTCCTCTGAACAGAGCGGTAGGCTGTTCTTGGTCTTTCAAGGAACACAAGGGAAAAAACGAGGTTAAAACAAGGCTAATAAACTGTTACCAAAGCAAAATGAAAACCGTAGCAGGGGTAATAATCCGCGGTAGTATTTATAAGACAAAGGCTAGCTGAACCGAGCAAATGACTGGAAGGAATTAAATAAGCATAGCAAGGTTACGAATCCCATCTGGCAGGACATAAAAACGTCAGCTTTTTACAAAGCGAGGCCTAAGAAATGAAGTGGGCACTACGTAACGATACCCCCTAGCGGTTAGGGCGGGATTTGAGCCCCGGAAATGGAGTTTCAAAAGTAAACATTGAATTGATCGCTGTTTAATTCATTTACTACCTTAAAGTGCCTCTTTAGTTCAAAGAAAATAGTATAAATAGAATTTTAAATGGCATCCAATTCAAAATGGAACAAAATTATGAAATAAGATATAACGCGTGTTTCGTATGTGACTCTTTGGGGAACTACTTGTGCCAAATCACCTTTGAAACCACTGGCCAGCAAGTATACTCTTTATGGGAGTTCAGTTCACTTCAGTTCAGTTTATTCACAATTTTTACACTGTATACAGTAACATAGGAATGAAATAACAAATAAAGGAATAAAAGAAACGAAAGAAATTAATGGTTGATAGAAGTGGACGGTGGTCAGAGGAGCTTAGCTTTCGAGCTAACCACTGCTATGATGAATGGAAATACTCATTATGTGCGATAGGTGCCATGGCAAATATGGACGCTAATGTGAAACAATCACTTATCTGTAGTTAACTTTAAGAGTTAAAGGGGCTGGGTCACGGCAGTCCAGTTCATTTTGTTTAAATTTGCCAATTACTCGCCCTCAATCCTATGGAACTTAAAGTAAGCAAGGAATTTACAGGTAAATTACAAAATCAGAGATCCGAGACAAACAAATATGTCTCCTGAGCATTATTTTTGAAGTTACAAGCAGCAGGGGTCAACTTTGAAAAACTGTTAGACTGAACAGTTTTCAAAAACCCTAATTTCAATCCGTTTCAATCTTCTTCAGTTTTCCCCATCCGTGGTATCTGTTGTTTCTGTTGTGTTATTTTTAACCTCATTTAATGTTTTAAGCGGTTATTTTTACGTTTCTCTTAATTTAATGGGCATTTTGTAATTTCCTAATCTGGCTGAATTTCGTGACACAGTTCGTTTAAGCAGAATTCGTTTCATTGTTTTTTGAATTGGTAGTGGCTGAGTGTTTTCATGCTAGTAGGAATCTCTTCCAAGATTCTGGTTATGGCAAACTTAAAAGTGTGTTTGCCATTATTTGACCTTATACGTGGCAAATGAAAATTAAGATTTGATGCACATCTAGTATTGTGAGAGTGAATATCAGCGTACCCCATTTTCTTCCTCTGTTTTGGAGTCAGAATAACTGACATAAGTGGAAGCGTGTAAATTGACGAATGCCTGTATCTCCTCTAGTCTTGGATACAATGGCTGTCAACCATTAATTAACGGGTCTTAACTGTGTGACAAAGAGCACTTTAAACGAGAATACATTGTTACGCCCAAAAGTGATTACCAGTGCATCGTGGAATCATTGGGACGGCACACGGTGTCAGCAAAAGTGAAAAAAGCCGACGTGAAATTCTTTTTCGTAGACACTGCACACTTCATCTTATAATTTTCTGCCGCGATATTCATTTGTATGCTGTTGCCAATACCGCACTACTTCAGTGTTACAAACTTCTTACTTACCGTGACGCAGAGCATCTAAACCAGCCAAACCAACCGCAGCTGGTAGTTGTGGCTGTGTAGACTGTGGTTGCTGTGACGGCATAGTATGTCTGTGTCTGTACAGTCTGCCTGGAGCACACGTTCTGCCTGAAAAAGTTAATGGTGTAACTAGTCGATACTTAATAATGCTCTCCCGATCTTGGAAGAGACTGATTAAAAGCCTCAGGTTCAGATATAGAATTAGCCTCAACATGATGCGCCGTGTTAAAATCCCTTTTCACGTTGCCTAAAGAAGTGTTCAATGACTATTACGAGGGTAATCATGATCAGTTTGGGGCATTACTCGGCCAGTCTAGTCATCCTGTACATTCAAGAAATTATAGTCAATCAATTATTTATCAAGATAACCTTCGCGCGACAAGTTGAGCTAAAATGTTGCCCGTATAACTTGAACTTTAAAAAGGAAAAAAAAGTATGCACAAATTTAAGCGCGGCATCGTTCACCTGAAACTTGGGAGCTAAAACAAAAGTAGAGAAATATCGCTACAAGGTAGAGGAGAAAATCTATTAAAAACCATTGGGCACAGAAGTCCAGTAAATTGAAAACGAGACCAAAAGAATTCTAATAAGACCTTCAACCTATTTCTAAGTTCGAAAAGTAACCGATACCACGAACATTTCCATACGGATTAATGACAGCATAATTAGCGACCAAAGAAATGTAGCAGAAGTATTTGGAGATTACTTCTCCACGATGGCAAACGAAATTGGAGGCCAACATGTCCCTCAACTCGGCGAAGAAGACTTTAAAACGCATGTGAGCGTGGAAGCATTTCGCCATTCTTACCACAGTCTTCACTTTGAATTCATCAAGATAAACTCTCGTGCAGTCGAAAACGAGTTAAAGAAGGTAAAAAGCCATGGGATGGGACGGAACCTTCATTAAAATTCTGAAGCAAATGGCAGTCGGTCTTACACCTGGTAAAACAAGTCTTTTTAACACCTGTAGTCAAAGTGGGCAGTGGCGGAGTAACTGGAACAGGGGAGTGTGGACACCAGTTTTCAAAAAGGAGGACAGGGCCGATTATTGGCTAATTACAGACCAGTAACTGCCCTGAAGGCAGTAACGTTCACAGAGAGAATAGATACCCATTTATATGATAAATTGTCTGCTTACAGGAAAACGCACAGCTGCGAGATCAAACTAACCCGTTTAATGGAGGACTGGAGAAAAGCTATGGATAACGAGGAATGCGTAGCGGTTTTGTCAACGGACATCAGCAAGGCATTTGAAAAGTTGGATCTGCGGTAATGATTAAGATACTTGTCCTTAGAGCTCTTCGTTCCTGTTTCATCGAACGAAAAAACTGCGTTAAAATCAACAATATGGCAAGCACATGGAAAGACCAGTTAAGGGGTTGTCCACAAGGTTCACCACTCGGTCCGCTACTATCGATCTTGTTTCAAAATGACTTATCTCTGAACGTACTCACCAGTAACTTGTTCATGTATGCTGATGATCATGATCGATAAAAATCGATATCGGAAATCAATCGATATCATCGGTATTAATCGATTTAATCCGCTGATTAAAATCGATTGACATTGGAAATCGATAGAAATCGAGGTCACAGAAAAAATATTTTAACGATTATTATCGATTAACAAAATCGGTAACAATCAATAGGAATCGATAGTAGTCGATAAAAAGCAATAATCTTGAAGTGAATATTCTGAACATGACGACGCTATTTGGCAAGCAAAACCCATGAGACCGGCTTTTGCTAAACACATTTTATTTTTGATGACTTCAGTAACTCCTCCACGCGTAGTCTTCACCAGATTCCATTTTTATGGTTCTTTAGTTTCCTCATTTGTGTTACGGATCTTTACATGTCCATTCAATCAAAAAAGCGAGTAGGAAAATAGGGGTGCTAGCAAGACTACGCAATCTAGTCTCATGCAAGACCAAGCTTAAACTGTACCTAACAGCAATTCTTCCTGACCTGAGGTATTACCAAACTGTATGTCATTTTTGTAAGCAATCTGAGAGGCGAAAGCTGGAGAAACAGCAAGAACGCGCTTGAAGAGCAATTTAGAACTGCAAGGCAGACACTTACGAAGATCTTCTACGCCGTGCAAACTTGCCCTCTCTCTACAATAAGAGGCTTCAAGAGATAGTAATTTTAATGTATCAAGTTAGAAATAGTTTGGCCCCTGAATACGTAGGTGAACTTTTCAATTTTGCAAACAAAGGGTACTCTCTAAGAGATGCAGATTGGATGATACCTCACTACTTAACAGTAAGATATGGAAAACACTCTATTAGGTACCTGGGCCAATACCTTTGGTTCAGACAATCTTCAAATAATCGACAGCGACCCTCGCTGGACAAGTTTAGATGAGGGGGTGAATAGGTCAGCGGATCGGCGGATTTGGCCATAAAAAGCTCTCGGATTGTGGATTTCGGCGATAAATCGAGCGGATTCGCGGATTTGAAAAATACCGTGGATCGCGGATCAGCTGAACGTTTTGGCCCGGTTTCCGGATTCTGTCAGTCTAGAGGTTCGGATTGTGGATCGGATCATCAATTTTCGGTCGGCCTTGGTCAATGTGCTAGTGTTTTGTCGGCTAACGTTCCACTTCCGAGGTTTCCGGAAGAGACTTTCTTGTGACCCGACGCATATACATGTATTCTGTATAGACAGCGTGACGGAAATGACGTCAGGCAACCTTGTGCATGGTTCCTGCAATGGCTCCTCCATGGTGTCACATGGTTCAGGTAATGGCGGTAATGCTAAGTGACCTGACAAGATCTGTGACTGGATTCGTGTAAATTGTCTAAATTTCAAAATGGAAACTAGAACTATCGAGTGTGTAGCCTTTTTCTACCACGAAGGTGCCAAAGGCGATGACTTTATTAAAAAAATAAGTTTCGATGCTGCGTCGATTCCAGTCAGTGGGGAAGTGGGTTGAAGTTACGCGAGCACGTTCCGTAAGTTTATATTTGGTTTATACATGAACTGATACAAATTATGCTCTTCGAAGCTATTTCAGCTAGTTTGCTTCTCTTGATCGTTAATTTAATAGACCTTTTCACGGTTTCTGTCGCCATCTTGGTTGAGGGTAAACACGGCAAAATTTACAATAAATGTACGATAAAAGTCGGGAGTTTGATGCTCTATAATTTGAGAAAAGTTGACATTATGAAATTTCTATGATTTACAAACTAAAGATACTAGTAAAACAGTTAACCAATTAAGTTTGAAGGGCATCGGTTTGCTGAGAAGCGAGAAGTCTTACTTTTAGTTTTCATACAAATGCTTCTACGTTTTCCCACTGACGGCAGCTCCATTTACAGACAAATATCTCCTTGAAAATCGTCAAATTAGTTGTTTTACCGATTTAATGTTGCAGTACGTTTTCTGGGCTGCAAGTAACTGCAAAAGAGCTGGTACTAGGAGAAAGCATCGATGATAAAGTTGAACAGCGCCTCCCACATTCATTTCGTAAGATAAGAGTTATTTTCCGTAATCACATCCGCTGGACTGATATACTGGATTTTTGGGCCTTTGCATTTAATGCTAGGATTGACAGCGACTCATGAACTATAAAAAAGTCAAATTTACATATTGATCGGTGAAATGATAAACTGGGTTTTGCTCCTTATATTTTATGCTAGGACTGACGATCACTGAGTACAAAACACTTGAACTACGAGTAAATGAAACTCTGTATCTGCACCGGAAAAAAAATGCAGTTTGCCGTGGCTAACCCTTTTACTCGTCTGTTGCCAAGTGGAAACATCTTTATGTGAAAAAGATTATGGTCTCAAGACTTCCAAGATGAACCATTGAAAATACTTAGCGGTAAGCAAATTACCATGAAGTTGAGTTCTGCCTCTTCCGAATTTTGCGGCTTGACTAGAAGCATGTCCAAAGTGATGTCAGTAAGTAAATTTATTGAAAAATCTTGAACGCTATACGAGATACTTTCATTTTGCAAGCTTGCAGACTATTTGATTAGTTAAATCTTTATTGTCGGAAGAAACATTGTAAGCTCTGTCCCTAATGCTTTTGAAGCTGTAACGAAAACTTCTTAAACATGAAGTCCTGCATCTGTTGCGATTACGTACAGCGCAACTATATTAAGTAATTCATTTTTTCATGCTACAACGCTACTTTCTATATACCACGAAAAATTTTTAAAGTAACACGGATTCGGATTTGAACAAAGATTAGTCGGATCGACGGATCGGGCCTAAAAATACCACGGGTCGGCGGATTTGCATACCCCTATTCACCCCCCGCTTAGATGGAACTTCAGAAAGAAAAGACTTGATTCCTTTTATTAAGGGTACGTGCACCAAGTGTTACTTATGTATCACTTAACCACGTTTGCAATGGAATTTTGTCACTTTTTAATTAAAAAATTATAAATTCGTGAATATTCCAAATATCAGTTTTTCTATGAACTGTATAAGCGATATTAAATTTGTGAATAGTGCAGATTTTTAGTTTTTATTATGAACCTTCCTTGTCTTCAAAATGATTGTAAATTTTAAAATAGATTTTTAGCACTCGTAGCATCCCTATTTTAATTTTTTATTTTGTATTTGGGATGTTCTTTTAGTGTTCACAATTAGCTAATATCTAGCTAAATACTCTGACGCTTAAATAAAGTTCATTCATTCGTTTGCTAATTGATTGCACTGAATTAGCGATTTTTGCCTCCTTCTTACGTAGAACAATAACTAAGAGCATAGAGTATTAAAGCAAGACGCTAAAAAGGTACACGAACGACCAGAGGCAAAAATATCTCCGTTTAGTAACATACTACGTCCGAGATTAGGCCGTATGCACTCTCCTAGCGCCGAATGCAATAAGAGTAACATAATGAGGGATGTTACTAAAACGGGAAACGGGGAGCGGGGAGCGAGAAGCGGGGAACGGGGAACGGAAGTCTGGGAACGAGTTGTCAGCGGAAACCTCCACAAAAATCCAAAATGGCGGTCCCAAAAAACGAGAGAGAGAAAGAAGAAGACAAAGAAAGGAATTCGTGCCTTGGTTGAAATCAGGTGGGGACGAAATTGCAAATCAGACTCACATTTCACGTTTACGTTTTGAGCAGGTGGTATGTTTTTTCGATATTCAACCTGCTTCATTTACAATATGATAAGGTCTTAGGTCTTATTTTTCGAAACACCTGGGACACTCACATTACTCCTGGATTACTTCGTTTACTTTAGACCGTCGCTTAATCCTGCCTGTTTATCCCCCTGAATGTTCTTTTTCCCACTCAGACAAACTCTTGGAGAGTAAAGGTTTTATCCAAGCCCATTGTATGCCCTGTTTTGAGAATGCTTGGTAAATAACTCGCAGGCATTGTCAAGAAATAAACGTGGAATTTATTAATGCATGTTCACATAGTGTTCTCGCGTTCTGTGCTTGAGTCAAACTTTGTACAGCTATAAGTATTTAAAAATAACGGCTAAAACTTGTTTTTTACAATTTTTTTATGACTGGAAAAGCTTGTTGTTGTTGTTAGTGTTATATTAAAGTCATTTAGTAATGAGTTATGAATCGTTTAAGGTCAGGGTTTGGCATTGAAAGCAGGGTTAAGCACTGACTTCAAGAAGGTGGTGGACAAAACACTGACCCCCATTCCATGAACTACCCCCAATGACTACCCTAAAATGGACTATGCCACTGAAGTTAAGTGATTAGGGTTAGGAAACTGAGTCCTTATACTGGGAAAACTGACCTAAAACTTCATTCACTCAGTTTCCTAACCCTAATCACTAAACTTCAGCGGTGTTGTCCATTTTAGGGTATGTCCATGAAGTGTGGGTCAGTGTTTTATCCACCACCCTTCAATAAGTGTTTATTCAGGTTTGTCACTATATTTACTGTATGTACCAGTATTTGTTTAAAGCAGATAGTAGCAGTTAATCCGAGATATTTGAAGTTTTTCACTTGACTCATGACTCATCGACTCAATTATTTAATTGCCTCTATAATTTCAACTCCTTGACCCATAACGTGGCCTAATTTAAACCGTCATTTTCTTGGCCTTTATTAGAAATGCCAAAGCTCATTTAGTGCATGTTTTTTCTGATATAAACACAACAAATTGTACTGTCAGTCCTCTACCATACCCCCTCCTGAATGCTTAGGCCAATATTACATGGCACAAGGCTAAAGAGAGTGAGAGACAAACTAGAAATGCCGCACTGACTACTGCTAACATATAGCATGATTTGTACCAATACCTTTTTGTGCCAAGGAAGTGATACATTCATGGTTGTCTTGTTGTAGTCCTCTAAGGAGAGGGAGGCTGAATAGAGGATTTACAGTAAAAGGTTTAAAGGGAATTTTTGCCAGTTCACTCTCTATGGAGATGAAAGGGTTTGAGGCAATTATTCAGTTTTCCCCTTATAACCTAGTTATGGTCAAAGATACAAATATCAAAATCAATTTGAAATGTCATTCTGAATATAAAATGGGTGTAAAAGCAAATTCTAATCATTTTTTAAAGATACTCCTTTGTTGTGAAGGATTTTGGTAGAGATCTCTTGACTATCACAATTTGCTGGCATAGGGTTCTATTATCAACCCGTTATCGCTTGATATAAAGAAATGAACTGGCCCCCTTTAAAGTTGTGCTTGGTTTTAGTGATGCATATTCACTATTCACTTTTTGCTAAAGAGTAATGTATATGAAGGGAACTATACAATATCATAAAAGTATTTAGGCGGCCACTTACAAATTTAAACTGTTTCAGACATGTTAGTTACGGGGGTGACAGCTCTAACAAGGGCTGTTTCGGGAGAAAAACAAATTTGTTCCAGGAATCTGGGGATTTTGCCGGGAATCGGGAAACCTGGGAAATTTTTCGGGAAATATGAGATATTTTCGGGAGATTGAACAAAGACTTGATATTACATGTTATCAAACAATATTTGTTATATTCCTAGAATTTCACTCAACTAAACAGGGACTGCCATTGGTTGATTCTTGGTCACGTGGCCTTGACTAAAATCAAATGTATCCCGATCGTGATACATTAAACAATGTATCCCGCTCGGGATACATGCAGCACGTGATCAAAGCATGGTGGAAAGTGGCGTGACAGAAGGCGGGAAAAACACTGCCAGGTTGCCAGTTTTCTTTTTCGTGAATGAACACAACAGCACAATCACGAAGCCTCAAGCTAAAAAGCAACGATTTTAAAAGTTATCCCAGAAGTTCCCAGAAGAAAAACAGCAGCTAGTGGCGGAAAAAGATGCAGATGATATAAGGAAAGTACTTTTGTTTGTAAATCATTCATTCAGTGGTTTTGAGAATTAGATTTGTGTTGTTATAAGTACCAAGTCGACTGTTTTGGTTCGTTTTCGTTCGCTCCGGTTATTCTTTTGTTGCTGTTGAAGTGAAAGTTCTCGAAATATAACAAAACACTTAATGTCAGATCCCTCGGGAAACCAGTTAGTTTTGTTTTCCCTCGAGTCCTGATGTTTCCCTCGACTTCGTCTCGGGAAACATCAGGACTCTCGGGAAAACAAAACTAACTGTTTCCCTTGGGATCTGACATTAAGTGTATAGTATACAGTGACATGCACCCTGTGCCGATACGCTGTATTCTATGTATTTTGACACTTGAAAACGGCTTAACTCCCCATGATATGAAAAGACCAATCAGCAAAGTTTCCAACTAAAATAGCATGAAGTTTGAGTGCGATTGACCACGTGCAATCCCCAGCTGATTGACACAAGAACAGTACCCGTGCAAGGGTCGGTGCAAGGCACATACTATCAGTTCACACCAGATCCCATCATTCATTAGTTCAGGGGTATTGTTACGCAGCATGTTAACGAGTTTTAAGAGCACATTCCACTGATTGCATACTGGAAAACTTGAAAAAAGTACGTTAGAAGTACGTAAGAAAAAAACGAAACTCATTTAACCTTGTTAAACGCACATGAGGCCATAAAACGTAGTATGCCTGTGAAGACTCTTTAATCGTCCTGATCTTGTTGGGGTCCTTCTGATTTTGCTCGAAAATCCCGAATCCCGCTCAATATGCGTTCGGAATAGGAAAATTCCAGATTTCGACAGTTGTTCTGAAATTTTCAAATGAATTCTTATGATACTCATACAATGACACCACACAGAGTATACTTAGCTGAAAGTGATTTCCAGAGCAATTTCAAAAACCGCACAACTTGTATAAAATAAAATCGACTACTTCTACACGAAGTCATGCCAATAAAAATAAGCATAAAAAGGACAGTTGATTTAGAGAACATTTTGGACAGAATTTGTCCTCTCAGAACACTAGAAATGGCATTTCAGAGCACCAAGATTTCAAAATTTTCTGGGGGAGTATGCCCTCAGACCCCCCTAGTGGTTGGCCCCTTCAGCGCTCCCCTGATTCGTCGGTGATTAAAAAACAAAAAACCACGATTTTATATACTTAAAAAGTTTGACAGCCTTTCTGTGTTAAAATGATACCCTCTAATGAAAAAAATAACTAAGGTTAGATAATCAACAAGTTACATAATTAACAAGAAGCTGCTAATCAAAATTTTAATTTTAATTGTTAAAACAATTTTGGGAAGTTAAACATTTATGGGGAATGCCACCAAAAAATTTGGGAGGGTCGACAAAATTTCTGGCAGGACATAAAGTTATTCAGTTGACTGCCCAAACAGCCTTTGTTAGAGTCGTCACCCCCTTTAGTTTATACCTAACCCATTTGGTTAACTGGACATATTGATCCTAGTCATACCTACTCGTACCTTAACCCTCTAAGCTTCATTATCCACATACAAATAATATTGTCCACACTTATCTCTTTACATTTCCTTAAAGATTTAGATGACAGAATTTGGTTGAAGATTAAAGCATTTTCCCTTTGGTGATTATTTCATTACTTGTCATAAACATTCCTCTGGATAATGTATTGATATTGTTTTGAGAAAATTGATTTCCGTCGATCATGGGACTTGAAGAGTTAAATTTTCTTTTACTTTGATCTTTGATATGTTGTTAAAACAACCTCATCTAAGGCAATTACATGGTGCAATCTGGTGAACTGGCAAAAATTCCCTTTAAACCTTTTACTGTAAATCCTCTATTCAGCCTCCCTCTCTTTAGAGGACTACAACAAGACAACCATGAATGTACCACTTCCTTGGCACAAAAAGGTATTGGTACAAATCATGCTATATGTTGGCAGTAGTCAGTGCGGCATTTCTAGTATGTCTCTCACTCTCTTTAGCCTTGTGCCATGTAATATTGGCCTAAGCATTCAGGAGGGGGTATGGTAGAGGACTGACAGTACAATTTGTTGTGTTTACATTAGAAAAAACATGCACTAAATGAGCTTTGGCGTTTCTAGTAAAGGCCAAGAAAATGACGGTTTAAATTAGGCCACGTTATGGGTCAAGGAGTTGAAATTATAGAGGCAATTAAATAATAGAGTCGATGAGTCATGAGTCAAGTGAAAAACTTCAAATATCTCAGATTAACTGCTACTATATGCTTTAAACAAATACTGGTACATACAGTAAATATAGTGACAAACCTGAATAAACACTTATTGAAGGGTGGTGGACAAAACACTGACCCACACTTCATGGACATACCCTAAAATGGACTACACCGCTGAAGTTTAGTGATTAGGGTTAGGAAACTGAGTGAATGAAGTTTTAGGTCAGTTTTCCCAGTATAAGGACTCAGTTTCCTAACCCTAATCACTTAACTTCAGTGGCATAGTCCATTTTAGGGTAGTCATTGGGGGTAGTTCATGGAATGGGGGTCAGTGTTTTGTCCACCACCTTCTTGAAGTCAGTGCTTAACCCTGCCAAACCCTAACCTTAAACGATTCATAACTCATCACTCAATGACTTTAATATAACACTAACAACAACAACGAGCTTTTCCAGTTATAAAAAAATTGTAAAAAACAAGTTTTAGCCGTTATTTTTAAATACTTATAGCTGTACAAAGTTTGACTCAAGCACAGAACGCGAGAACACTATATGTACATGCATTAATAAATTCCACGTTTATTTCTCATTACAATGCCTGCGAGTTATTTACCAAGCATTCTCAAAACAGGGCATATAATGGGCTTGGATAAAACCTTTACTCTCCAAGAGTTTGTCTGAGTGGGAAAAAGAACATTCAGGGGGATAAACAGGCAGGATTAAGCGACGGTCTAAAGTAAACGGAGTAATCCAGGAGTAATGTGAGTGTGCCAGGTGTCTCGAAAACTAAGACCTAAGACCTTATCATATTGTAAATGAAACAGGTTGAATATCGAGAAAACATACCATCTGCTCAAAACGTAAACGTGACATGTGAGTCTGATTTGCAATTTCGTCCCCACCTGATTTCAACCAAGGCACGAATTCCTTTCTTTGTCTTCTTCTCTCTCTCTCTCGTTTTTTGGGACCGCCATTTTGGATTTTTGTGGAAGTTTCCGCTGACAACTCGTTCCCAGACTTCCGTTCCCCGTTCCCTGCTCCCCGCTCCCCGCTTCCCGTTCCCCGTTTTAGTAACATCCCATAATGAGCTTAGGGTGAAAAAAAAAAAAAAACATTCATCCTAACGACCATCTTGACTATATTTTCCCATGCACTTAAAAAACCGTTGTTTTCAATGATAATATCAGTGTCCCACCAGGTGGCTCAGAGTCTGATCTACTAACTCTACCGAAAGAAAAAGAAAATGTTTCATTATCTTCCCTCATTGTTCCCTTTTTACGGGAAATGTGTTTAGGCATGCTGGTGCATGCCTTGTTCTTTCGCATGCTAATCATGCTTTGTTCTTGCGAAAGTGAAGCCCGCTCTTCCTGTTTATCAGTAAACGAGACCCCAGCAATGATAATTACTTTTTCTTTTCTAAATATTATGCTACTAAGTATTACCAAACAAATCATCTGTAGACGGATGTAACTAAAAGACATATTAATAATTTGAATCTGAATAAAGTTTAAGTTTAAAAAGTGTTCAAATGTTTGCGTGTTGTGTCTAGCCATTACTTCTGGGAAACTATCGGAGGGAATTGAAATCATCAGACAAAAGGTTATAGCTGTTTCCTTGTTTGATATGTCGACTACAGTTACTGACTTTTAATCGATAAAAACAATCGAAACTCCTGATTATTTGAACCATCAACATTGTATACCTCTGGCTGATTTTTGAAGTTTCTTGTTTGAATTCTTTTTCATCCCTCAGGGTTGATTCCACTGTCGCGTAATTTTTACGTGCGTACGTGCCTAAAATTTATGTTCGTAAATAAAATAGAGGCAATGTATGAACGGTCGCTCGTAAGCGTAAAAGTTGAACGTCGCTCAACTTCAGGTTTAATCTCAACACTTTATATCTTGCCTCTATTCTCTGCCTCTATTAAAAATGCGTCAGTGGAAATCAACCCTCAAGGTGGTTCGAGTCTATTTTTAATTGCATATTATATGCTAAAGGATCGCGGCTTGAAATTCACTGATGCGTATTTACCTTTAATGTGTCGCCTGCACAACTCCATTTCTGTTTTCTCTAGGTGAAAAAGGAAAGGCTAATAGACCTACTACATAACTTCTTTCCTTTTTTCCTTAAACAATGGAGCACGAAACATTTACGTTCCCTTGGTAACATTTCTCTTTAACATTATTTTCCAATAAAAAACTATCAGGCTATCAAATTAACCTTGTTTTGTGCCATGTTAATCTTTTTACAGCCACCCCAGTTTGTTAATGTGGAAAAAAATCTTTTAAGGTGAAGAAGCAAATTTTGGTTTACTTTCCGTCAATGTTTATATGCATTTTTACAGTTTTATTCAGTTAGGAAAGTGAAATTTAAAACTTTTGGTTTTACGTTATATCCGATGAAGCGAACCTTAAAAGTGTTTGAAATCACAAAGACGGTTGAACGTCCTGAAGATAGAAGTTAAACCTGATTCAGACGGTGCGTGGTGTTGAAGGAGATTAACTTTAGACGACACTTCTTATAAGAGTGGATTTATTTGCAACATAAGCGTATAGCTGTCGCATTTGCCTGATGGAATTTTTTTTTATTGTTTTAGGCTCAAAGAAATAAAAATTCTAGCGAAAAAATGCGACAGCTATACGCTTATGTTGCAAATGAATCCTTGGTCACCCTAAGGCGAAAAGCGAAGATGGCAAGAAAAATGCCTTTCTAGAAGGAAGTGAACTGAGTCCACTAATCTCATAGGTTTTTGTCATGGTGCGACCATATCAAGTGATAATTGGTGGTTTTGCTGAGCGAAATTGTCGGCTAGAAGTTTATCATTTCTTAAATCACTTACCAAGTGTATTATTGGCGCTGATTCCAAAAGTAAAACGAAAATACCCTACGCCCCTACAAATTTCGATTCGTCCTGACGTGGTTATCAGTTAGTCAAAATGGCACTAAAGAAGATCTAACTAGCTGCTAGAAATTTGTCCTGACATAGACAAAGAATTCATATCGGATTGTTGTGATAGATTATCGGTATCGTACCGATGCTGAACATATCCACGCTTACACCATGGTATTGAGGATGAAAAGGAACAAAAGAGATGACTGAAATATTGGAGCCATCTGGGAGTCGAAAAACCGTTCCCACCTGGTTAAAACGCCAAGGATCCACAATGATCTTGTCTATCCCATTTTGTTTAATGACATTTTCTTGAACCGCGTAAAAGCAAGGCCTTGAGTCTAGAACTTAAACAATACCGTCCTGAAAGTAAAGCTTCGTTAAGATTGCACATCACTACCTATACTATTTATCTTGAAATAGTTATATACCACTGTTTCAAAACTGCTTGTACATGAACAAACTTTGTTATTATCTTTTTGCTTTCCGAGATGTTTGCACACAATTTTCAAGATAAATTTCCTCTAAGGAAGTGCAGCGGCACAACTTACCCATTTGCGTCGAGATTTGACGGATTAATGACAGCTTGATTCGCTCCCTGAAAGCTGCAAATGAGAATCAACGCTATGACGGGAAACGACATTTTACCTTTTGGACACAAGCAGAAGTGCCTCGCTAAGCATATTGCCGCTGAATTTAATCAGCATTTACATTATTCTCGGAACTGTCATGATTTATTCTAGTAAATGATACCATTCGTTTAAATATGAATTGTAAATGAAGCAGTGAACTATGACGAACTTTGTCCGACTCTATAAATTTTTGGTTTTAAAAACATTTCGGCCACAAAACGTTTGAAAAACCTGCAGCTTTCATATTAGGTTTTAATGAGAACTTTGGAGCAGAGGTCAAAATAGTTATAAGCCCCCTCTGAATTCAGTTTTGAATTAGTTTTTACAAATAAGGCCACGAATTCGAAGTTTTGGAGCGGGTGTCCCATTGTGAATAATGTATAGACTGTTTACACAACTAAACAGTCCTTCAGAGGCAGCAAGATTGGCGATCAAATATTCCCAATGCCTGGCATCATTATTTACGATCACCATTACTCTTTCCTAGTTAGTTCTTACGTATAAGCTAACTGCGTGAATCAAGAAGTTTTCTAGATTTTAGAATGCAGAATATCTTTTTCCTTACGTAAATTTAAATTAGTGCTATTTAAGCTTACCGGGTATCGAGAGGGCAAATTCAGTATTGTTAACAAATGAAGCCATCGCAAGCAAAATAGTAATATTTATTAATAATATTTATTATTCATTCAAAATATTTCTCCGATTCTGATTGGCTAAAAGCACACGTTTAATTCTCCGTAACCAGTTTCTGATGAGCAAATTTGGAAGAATTTTGTGTTTAGCGAGGAATGACGTAACAAATGCAGCGTTCTTGCAGGTTAAGGCACTGTTAACTGTTAAGACCTGGGGACGAGGTTGAGTTGTTTTGGTTGGAATTTGAAAAATGGAGGACATTTCACTCGTTGCAATAGTAAGAACTAGGCGAGAAAATAGCTAAAAACACGGCAAGAACAACAAGAAGACAACTCGAAGGATAACATCTGCCATTTGGGGAATATTTGCGGAGCTGTACAACCCTAAACGTGCACTATCGAAGATGAACTTAACCTCGATGGATCGATGGAGGTAGGCATGTTCTAGCCATGTTTTTAAACTAGGAATTATTTTGAATGAATAATAAAACAATTATTGAATTCGGCTTTCGTATCATATGAAAAATTGTGGGGATCTCGGAGGCTATTATCCGTCGAGGCCGTACACCCTCCTCGATCTCCATAATTCTTCATAAGATACTCAGCCTCATTCATTAATTGTTGATTATAAATTTGTACTGCGCAAATATCAATCCAGAAGAATTATCCTCTGCGCAATAGGCTGGTTACACGTAGAGTCTGGACCAAGTGGAACTCAACCAAGGGCGCAATCCATTCAACCAAAATTTCCGGAAATTTCGGTCCAAAACTCAATGGATCGGTTCGGTCAAACCGGAAAAGTTTCGAAAAAAACTGGTCCACCTTTTGAAGTAGACCACTTTTCCCTGTCGGACCGGTCTGAATTTTGGTTGAATGGATCGCGCCCACATTTTCATTGTTTCGCACAGATAAAACACAATTCCGAGGAGGAGGTACCCTGCGAGTAGGGGTAAGGAGGAGGCGTCTGAGGGAGCACATATGAACAATCATATTGTCGTTTTGGCTCAGAAATGTGACGAATTTAACAATTTCGAGGGTTTTTAATTGGTAGTTGACTGTGCTTTTAGAACACAAGACTTGTATAAGATTCATAGTCAGTAGGGAACTCGTAATCTTTTAAATTCTCATTTTTCACCCATACTAGACATAAAGATATTAGCGTTTAATCAGCAACATTAGCCGGTACGTATATTTCGTAATCTCTAGAGACTACTGTACAAGGAATCCAGTGTATTTACTATACAACGTCAAATGGTCACACAAACAGAAAAATTCGATTTTATCAACTAGGTTTCGCCTTTATTAATTTTATTTAGACACCTTGAATATACGTGTACACTTCTAAAAATTGAGTTGCTATAAAACTTAACAAAAACTCAGAATACCATCAAGTTACCTCGTAACGCTTAAGATAATCATTTACGGAGTTTAATAACATTTAGGGTATACTATGTTAATTGATGGAAAAAAAATGCCAAAATTTTATCAAACTATATACTAACCACTAAAACAAATTCGACTAAGGTATGGAGCAATAAAAACTAATGAATGAATACACGAAATTCTATAAACTTGTAACATCTTTGAATTAACAAGACTAAAAAAAGCATAGTGCATTATGTGACCCTGTAACATCAAGAGCCAAGACGAGTCATTCTAAAAGGTGCAAGCAAGCCTCTTTCCATGACAGAAAAATTATGGAGGAGTAAACGACTACTGAAACTCTCAGATAACAATGCAATGACTAGTAATTAATATGTTTTAAAACAGTTGGTTTGTTAACGAAATGTAAGAAATGGTAAATGAGAGATCCCAAGCGATCCCCTCTCTCTTAAAGTACATAACCACTCATATATACCATATGCTGCATGTGCTTTCTTTTCTTTTCTGCATGCTGTAGTTGAATGTTCTACGTCAGTGACGAGGGTTAATCTTTACAGTGGCTTGTTTTGCGATGCCAGGGACGCATGCCACAGCTGATTGCATGATGACGTCATAAGTTTCATCATCATTTACCAATGAATAGTCATTCTCTTGTGTTTCCAGTGGCTTTTCGCTGACTGTATATCCAGGATTATCAAATTGACAGCTTGAGTGATAGCTTCCATTCCCCCATGGAGGATTCTCGTGGAGTGCGGAAACAGGATAATCCAACAGGTAGGTAGAATACTCATTCTTCGTTGCACCGACATCAGTCTCACAGGTTCCGTACGCGTGATTTTCAAACTTACAAGTTAATGATGCGGGAATCGCCTCCGGGGCTTGTTTTTCCTTTCGTCTCTTGCACAAGAGGACTAAGGCCACAATACCTATAACTGATAAGGAAAGTAATCAACAAAAAATAGATTGTATAATAAACTTCAAGTGTAATAAATAAAATTCTTTACTATTTCTTTGAAAGCGAGACGATGGTTTATAGATGAGATAACTATGCGCAGGCCCAGATAACTAGTAGTTTAAGGAGCAAAATGTATTATATGAAGTGGAAAGAATTTTGGCAAAAAATATTGTGGCAATTGATTAAACCTAAATAAACTATCTCTCCTCAGGAATTTTCTTTTTCCTTCTTTTGTTATTCTAAAAAAGGAGGCCTCCCACGCAGACTTTCTTTTGGCTCGTCACGCAATCCTCCCCAACGAAGGAGGGTAAGGAACGGGAGACGAAGCCCAAAGAACGTCTGCGTGTGAGGCGATAAAAAAGGGAGATCTCTTTCCATCCCCTAGAAGCAAATGAAAGACTTACTAATGACTACAAGAACTGGTCCACCGATAATGACAGGGAGTTTCCATGGCAACTTTTCAGCATCCTCCCGTCCTTTTGTTTCACCAGCGCCTTTCGTTACATTAATTGATGGAGAGTCTGTCGTCATTTTCCCACTAAAATGCAACTATAAAACAAAAATCGGACACGTTTATAACCCCTAAGGGCAGATGAAATACTCATTGATAAAGCATTAATATATACTGATGCGCGAGGTACTGATCTCCAGTGATGTATAAGATAAGGTAACAAATAGCTAACACAAGAAGCAATCAGGGCGTGAGTTTGGTGTATGAAGTTATCGTTTCATCAAGCGTAGTAGAGGCAGAGTTGTTTTTCCTTCATCTCAGTCGTCGTTGATTTTTATAACGTTCCTGGACATTTTAGGTGAGTAAAAACAGCTTGTACAGTTAAGTAGAGTGTATTCTTTGAACTTGACCTCACTCGAGTTCAGTTTAGTGAACGAATTTCTTCTCACTTGCAACCTATACTGTACAGATTTGTGCAAAGACATCAGACATTTACGGAAATCGGATTGTTTTTTCAATTCCTCGTTGGCACTTAGTGATAGCTGCAACTAGTTATAATGAAAATAATGATAATGTTGACGAAAGTGTTATGTCCCTGAGTTAAGGGCGGAAGCTAAGATGCAATAGGCCACTTTCAAGTTGACCCGGCCTCTGTGTCAAAACGAGGTCAAGTGCTCAACCTTCAATTTATGCAAATAAAACTCATTTTCACAAGAAAGTTAAGGTTGTGCACTTGAGGGTTTTTGCAACTCGGAAGTGGCCTTTTCAGACCGCTACCCAGAAGAACATCAGGAATGAACCGGAGTGAATCGTGATAATGATAATGATACCAAAAATATAGCAATATTGATATTTTTTATCGCAATTTACCCCACATTGCTGGATTTTCAACTACCGTTAAGTTTTTTTACCTTCCTTCCCCCATATTCTATTTCCACTCCTTTCCTCAATAGTTCTTTCAAGCGAGTTTCATCGACTTTTGCAGCATCTATGAACAAAACGACCTGAGTACAAAAAGGTTAAAATTAGTACGTAAACCATAAGCTCATGTTGCGATGATTAGAACTTTGAATAGGTGATTTGCTCGTCATGGCGTCTTTTGATTACTGTTACCACAATTCTTTTTAGCACCTTGTGCACATTAGGGCAATTTTCACTTAAACCTCGCTGGGAATTCCAAATGTAGATATGAAAAATAAAACGAAATACATTCTGCTAGTAGCTACAGTAATAAAATGATGCCATGTTGCAAATGGCCCATTGTTCGAAAGTTTTTCGGGGTTATTAAGATGCAGAACAATCACACTCGGAGGTAGATATACCTCGAATCACGAAACGATTCCACTTACCTCTGTTCCATGTTCGGTTACACTCATTTCAGGTCTCCTGTCTGTTACAGCATTGGTCTGCAATTTTGAAAACAATTTAGCGTGGAAAACGTCAAGAAAACAAAATTGACTACCTAAAACTAAACTTCTCTTTATAAGAACCGAAATTTTCCACCTCAGCCTGAAAGATTTTGGTTTCTATTGAGATTTTAGGCTTTTAAAACGTGCAGAATAAACCAAGCAGCCAGCCAGACTATTAGGGAATTTTCGCAACGACGAGGGCGACGGCTACGAAAACAACACTCAAAAAGCGAATTTGCACTGCCTCAAACTTAATCGCGCTCATTCCATCTCGTTTACAACTTTCTTTATTGATAAATAATTAAACAAAGCGCAAGTTGACGATAATAAGATGCCAAAGCCAGAGGCTTATATGGCGTAGATAAGGGAGTTTAATTCGTCGAATGTTGGCAATTTATTTTGGAGTTGCATTCTAAAGGACTGCATCAAAGTTCAGGAAAAGAAGAAGAAAGTTGTTGTCTTTTGTTTCCGTCCTCGACAAAAAGTGAAATTGGGCAGTTTCACGTTGTAGTCGTGCAACGACTGCAGAGAAATACAAAAAAGCGTGATGCACGCACAAAGTTGTTGTTTTGCTTTTTCTAAACTTATTGCTTTTGTGCCGTTCTCGTTGCCGTCGTCGTCGTTGCGTAAACTCCCTATATTAAAGGTTGACAACTATAATAAAGTGAAGTGAAAAATTGCGACTCAAGCGTGAAGTACAACTCCACATATGACTCTTCCCAAAAACAATTTCCACGGATCAAGAGAAGAGAAAAGAAGTTGATCGAGGGGAGTGTCGCTAGATTACAAAATTACAAAATGGTAAGAATTGTTTTCGACCTTGAAATGGACTGGTTCTTTCTTCGTTTAAAACCTTTTTGAGCCTGAGGATTTTTTTTACTTTTACAGATTTTTGAAACTCTTTATTGGTTTTTGAGTTTTTTGAGTTGGTAAGTTCATACTTGAATTCTTTATATATGATGTCTATCTTAGTGAGCACTTTTTCTGTCAGCATTTCAACCCCCGCGCTAGCATTTCTCCCCTTAGACTAAATTTTAATCCCTCCCGGCCTAACGGAAAGGTAGACAAAGAGAACAATTTAGTAGTGCTTTGCCGAACTAGTAAGTGTATACTGCAAATAACGCCGTGTCCAATAAAATATAAATGGTCTTAAAACGAGAAATCCAGACACTTTTTCTTCTATCAAATAAAGAATTTTCTCCTTTTCTCTTATGATGTTCGACGAATCCAGCTTTCCATGGAAAAATAACTGAAAATATAATTGCTTTGCGTCAGAAGTGACAAAATACGAAATCAATTATTTAGTGGTAACTTTAGGCAACCAAATCAAATCGTAAGGATTGCTAAAGTACAAGCAATTTTTTTAAAAAAGTATCTTATCAAAGAACTAGGCCAGATACGGGCGATGGGATACAACGATTGATAAAAATTTGATACCTTTAATTTAAGAATTCTCGTCGGAGACGAAGATGGGGAGGCAGTGACTGTTAAGGGAGCTTCACTGAACGGATTGATGCTTGTTGGTTTTGTAATCTCTGTTGTAATAAGAATTTAATAATAATTTAATCACTTATGTAGCGCAAGTATTCATAAAAATGATCAAGTGCACATTACATTGGTAATTATAAAAGCATAAAAAAACCTTTATAACATAGCGCGCGTGATTGCCCTACATAAGTCCTATCGAGCCCCTATGAACAAAATCTTTATTCAAGATTTTTTTCATGATGACGTGTTCATCTGTGTCTTTCGTCTCTTTTCCAAAGTACCCAAAAATCGACGGCAATGACCAAAAACTTTCTTTTGGAATTTATCTTCCTTTAAGCCATTCAAACTAACAGGAAAATCAAATAATAGAACCTGAATGATTCGTTGAAAAGTCTGCCGTAAAGACTGACATTTAAGAGGGAAAAAGACCACAAATTGGTCCGTGTCGGAAAATATCCAATTTTAAAAAGGGTCCTCCGTTTTTAACGCTTGTTTATCCTTTACAAAACAAGTTAATTACAAAGTAAGCTCAACATGTACAGCGAAAAATTATGCACTTTTGTTATCGCCGAACAATCCGACTGGAGCCGGAAAATTTCTCTTGCAATAACAAGACAAATTACACAAGAAGACACAAATTTTTAATTATTACTCATAAAAACAACTGCTGCCAGGTCTTCTCAAGTAGCCGTAATGACCAACCATTGTTCGTAAATGAATATAAGTTTAAAGTAGGATGACAGTCGTCTTCGCTAAAAGACAAGTTTTCTGGATTTCGCCGAGCAAAACATAAACATCTTTTCAACAATTCCAAACCATACTCCACGACTTCTTAAGAACATGTGGGTATGGTGGACTTTAAGACTCTTTTACCTTTGTTTCTACCTAGTTTCCAATGATCGTTAACGAATAAATAAGCAAAATTTCTTTCTCAGTTTTATAGAAAGAACTTTTAGTCAAACTAGACGATCGGGGCATGTTTGTAATCAGCCAATAGAAGCGTTTGTTATTGTGTCGCGCGTTACGAGAATTTTGCAGTTAATCAAAACGCAAGCATCTTCGTCAGCTATCTTATAAAAGAATTTTCTCATGCTTTTAGCTGTACGTATATCGAGTTATGGATGCCCTCGGGAAGTTTGGAGAGCACTCAAGAACCTAGAGTTGCTCTCAGCTGCGCCTCGATTAATTCTTATTCATCTTTCGTGCTCTCCAAACTTCTTGCGTGCATCAATAACTCGATATACGCGCGCTAAGCATGAACAAATTCTTAAATTTACGATACGAAAAATAGTAAGAATGATATATACACTACTACAATAAAAATCTAAAACATCGATATGTAAAAATTAAAATTCATTTAACTATAAGGAAACTTAAAAAGGTGCGTCTTAAGATGGCGTTTAGAAGCATGTAAGTACTGAATCCGTCGCAAAGCTCGCGCGGAAGAGAATTCCATAACTTGGGTACAGCGACCTGGATATAATGACATTATAGTCACCTGTTGCATAGTGAAAGAAACGAAAGGAGCTTGAAAACGGAATTAAGTTGTAGTAAATTGTTAACTAAAAGAAAAAGATTTAAGGAAAGCGGGTTTTAACCGGTTACAAACTGAGATATCAGTGTGTAGAGCAGAGGCACTCGTCAGAAGAATAGTGTTCAATTGGAAACGTCAACCAGTTTTTGTCATCGAAAACAGTGATTGCTTACCAATACAATGGTTTCTGTCAGCTGTTGCAGCAGAGGGCGTAGTAAGATTCTGCCTACAGAAAATACAAGATGGCCGACCTCTTGAAGGTTGGTAAGTACCGCGGGGACACAAGTTGCACGTTCTGTTCAGGGAACTGTACGAACCTGCTGGACAGTCAGCTATAAAAACGTAAAAACAAAAAACGCGCAAAAAGTCATAAGATACCTGAATGATAAAGTTTAAATCGTAGCAAAACATTGCAGTGTGCGTGACTAATGCAGGCTAGCTTGTGCGGTACTTCTAAAAGTATGATGTTCATGTCACCACCATATAGAGATTTCGAGACACAAACTTGGAAAAAGGTTGTTGATGCTGATGTCTTTGAAGTACGACAACAACAATATTTTTAGTTATGTACATTCTTCGACTAGGCTGTATTGATTTTGACTTAGCCCTGTTTTCTGGACTCTAGGAAAAATTACCAATGCAGTCTGATTCCTTTGATGTTCCGTTCAAGGCTGTGGTGAAGTTTTGGCCACACAGAATACATTCTTTTTGGCCTTGATCAGGTTGATAAGTACCAAGTGGACAATTACTGCAGTTTCCACTCTCAGTATAGTACGAACCAGCTGAGCAGTTTGCTATTGAAACAATAAAAGTCCATGTTAGGAAAACCTATGTAACGCTAGTACCACTATGCGACACGTTTGGACGGAAAAAAGACGAAAAGCCATAACGAATGGTAATGTTTACAGTTTCTTCAGGGATTTTCACTGAATTTTACAGCTTTATTCAGCCAACAATCGTGGGAATCGAATTAAAAATAACACTCACTTATACAATTCATTTTGTCCACTGTTCCATTTTTAGGTGTAGTCATTTATGTGTAGTCAAGTACCACGGGGACATAAGTTGCACTTTCGGTTGAGGGAACTGTATGAACCAGCAGGGCAGTTAGCTATAAAATTAATGTAACAATTATTATTATTCATTCAAAATATTAACACGTTTCTGATTGGTTAAAACGTCACGCATAATTCACCATAACCAGCTACTGTTGACCAAATTTGGAAAGAATTTTGTCATAATGAAACGATGACGTCAAAATGACGTCAAAAGTGCAGCCTGGTTGCAGGTTATTAAATTGTTGACCTTGAAAACCTGGGGACGAGGTTAAGTTGTTTTGGAAGTTAGAACAAAATGGTGGAACAGTCGGAGGAACAATTTACTCTTTTCACCGCGAAATATTGTCTTAAAACATGGCAAGAACAGCTTGAAGACTGACGACATCTACTATTTGGAGTATATTTGCAGGCATGAATAGACCTTTATCTCCTAAACTTCCCGATAAAGATGCATTATCGATAGGTTAGCATGTTTTAGCTTGTTTTTAAAACTTGGAAGTATTTTTCTCGGAGGATGTCATCCACCTCGGCCTTCGGTCTCGGTGGATAACACCCTCCTCGATCTCCAGAATTCTTCATATCCTACGAAAGCCGAATTCAATAATTGCTAAATATTTCTGGCAGAACAAAACATAGCTCTGTGTAGATATTTCTCAGAAAATTCATTCAGTTTGGAATTATCAATTCAGCAGCTGCATATATTACAAATATGACAAATATGTTGTCTTATCACTAACCCTTAGATTTGAATACGAATACAAGTACCAAATCAAGTTTGGGAAAATATTCCGAAAGTATTTTAGTCTATGGTAGTCTCGAAAAGAAACTATAAATGTTTTTGTTACAAAACCAGTGATAACTTAAAGTTTTATCTCTTGTCTACTTTTGACAAAAAATTAACGCTAGTGAAATTTTAAAAAAATCTTCATGATTTTGTAAGACAGTAAATTTGCTACCACGGGGGAATTCGCCACCAGACACACCCAACAACGTAAGAAGAACGAGCTAAGCTCATGCATACATTATAGATCGCACATTACCAAAGTATTCCGATTCTTTTATTGTTCCATTCATGGCTCTAGTGAGGTTCTTGCCGCGGGAAATGCACTTTTTTTGACCGTGAACAGGTTCGTCTGCTCCAAGTCGACATGCACCACACTTGTTGCCCCCGGCATTGTAGTATGAACCAGCGGAACAGTTTGCTGTTAAAGCCAAAGATGGTAGATATTAGAATATGTTAGTGATCAGAACAAAGCCGGTTTCACTTCGCAGCAGTGTCTGAAGTATATGATGTTGAAACGGAAGGCCATTGAAGATGCACAGAGATATTACACAAAGATCACATTTGAAATGAAACCAGCCTTACTCAAGGTAGTTTGGTAAGAGTTGTGATCTCATTCACGCTGGCTGTGGCCTTAAGGTGATGTTATTAAGACAGGGGGCAGCTTTTGTGTCAGGATTCTAGGCCTAGAATTTTCTCAAACGAAGGGATAGCGATCGAAAAAGCAGCTTTTCAATCCGTCTACAGTTCTATCTACCAGTTGACAAAACCGAAAAGTTCAGCGCATTGATCGGAGTACTAACTCCATTTCTCACTGGTTTACGAGTCGTGTGGTGGTCGAAGGCTACACTCCTCTGGTATTTTTTCTGATTACTTACTAGACTTAAGACGAGAGAACAATAACTAAAAAAACAGAAAAAAGTTAATTCACTTGAAGAAAGCAAGTAAAATGCACAATGACCTTGCTCCAGAATATCTGCAAAGTCTTTTCTCTCAGCGTCACTCTGCTTACAACTTAAGAAACTCTGAGGGAAGGCTGACCTTGTCCAAACCAAGCACCAATTATTTGAAACGAAGCTTCTCTTACAGCGGGGCCATGTTATGGAATAACTTGCCCAAAAACTTAAAAAACGCTGCATCCGTTGAGCATTTTAAGAGAAATATCAAGAAGGTAGCTGATATATCGGTCGATATCGGATTCCCACACGGCAATCATGTAAAGCAGTTGTAATTAGTTTTAGTTTTTAACTTAAGCTTAACTGATGATTTCCCGTGTTTAAATAAAGATTTACATACATACATACATACTTGAACCTACTAAAACATTGGATTTTATCCACTGTTCCAGCTGACGTAGTGGTAAGATTTTGACCGCACGGAAGGCAAGACAGCCGACCTCTTGAAGGTTGGTAAGTGCCGCGTGGACACAAGATGCACGTTCTGTTTATGGGTGTACTAAATGAACCAGCTGGACAGTCAGCTACAAAGACGAACACAAGCAGTAAAGTCAGTAACTTAAAGTCTTTAATAAATGTTCCATCGTTAGAAAGGATACGATGAAACCGGAGCGTCCGAATTTGAACATAAGCTATACAACAGAATAAAGAAATGATTGCGGTTTTTGCGAAATAAAAAAAATTTTTCCTTACAGTATCGAAGGTGTGTTTGGCTTCCTTTGGACAGGACAGTGTGCGTCAGTATAGATCTCTCTTATCAGTAAATTTTTTTATTGTCTTATGATCTTTGAAACACAAAATGATCAAATCTTGTTTGATTGGCTACTACGCCAGAAGTAAACGAATGTAACGATATTAGTAAATGGACAACTTACCGATGCAATCTAATTCTTTTTCCGTCCCTTTAAGCAGTGTGGTAAGATTTTCACCGCAGGAAATACATTCCTTTTGACCTTGTCCAGGTTGGTAAGTACCAATTGCACATTTATCGCACGCGTCCTTCTCTGTGTTGTAGTAGGAACCAGAAGAACAGTTTGCTATTGAAGGAAAGACCCATGTCAGCTAATTGCGAATTTTGTTTTGCTTTCAATTCCATGAAATCATTAAAACAAGTGCAAAAGAGGAGTTTGATTTTAGCTGACAAACCCAGGCTCCTGCCCTCGGTCCCCTTCCGTTTGGTTGGTAATAAAGTGTATACAAAGAAAAAATTGCATATACTCTAGGACAAGTTCATTTATTAATCGCGTACCAGTCTCCCCATAACTTCTGAGTTTCCAGTGCTTAAACCTTATATCGTCAAGGGCGAATATTTTCCCCATCATTATAAAACAGAAATGCCAAACCTATCATTTAAGGTAATACAAGAGAATTGTTATCCTAAAATGGGCAGAAAATAAGAATACTCAGCCTGGGCCAGGAAAACAACATTCCTGAAAAAAAAAAAGAGTGATACCGCGCGAAAAAAGAAAACTGTGCGGTTGGAAGCATCCAGCCGCACGGCATGCAGACAAAACTTCTTGTACACAAGGTAAGAGAACACTAGCTGAAGCTGTGTGATCTAAGAATATCTAACTCTTTTTAGCTCCTGCCACGCAAGCAGCCAGCTGCAAATGTGTAACCAGGCACAGTAACTAAAATTGGTTGGCGTTATTTTTAACTGATTTGCTGTGGATTTTCCGTACATAAACCTTTTGTCCCCAGAAAAGCTGTCGCGTCCGTTGGCCCTAAAAATTTTTTTGTAAGACTTCCACTTTTACATTCTCGGTTCCAGGACCGGCACGAACAATCCTTGCGGTCCCTAAAATTAAAAGAATAACGACAAGGATCTTTATTACACGTGTAGGGCTTTGGAAGGTTCGAGAAGGGGACTTCAAACCAGCCAAATTCTACCTTTCATCTGGCAGACGCAACCCAGAAAGTGATCAGCAATTACAGCAGCATCGTTGTTAGTGCTCCTGACTTCCAACCACATAATCCGTCTAGAATAGCTATAAAAAAGGTTAACGGTGAGGTATTGGTGGGTATGAACGAAACAAGGCACATAAGGACTAGGGATAATTCAAATTCAAAGTAAACTGAGCATGAGACGAGTGCACTTAATCTACCCATCAATGCATCCATGAATTGCAAAGCCGTATGCTTTTAATTTATCATAGCCATCAATGTGCCTAAGAAAATTTGGTCCCTGAAATAAAAAGTAAATACCTTCATATATCTGCCTATCTTTGACAGCACGTATAAGAATTTGGACCGTTCACTAGTAAATAGGAGGTTGAAGTTGCCGGGGAGAAGTACTTCCGTCGTTTCAACCAGTGTTTTTTCCTTTCTGCAACGCCATCTGGGTCCATCATTTTCAAAGCCAATCAAACAGTTTCTCTATCGACAGGAAAAAAAGGTTTTAAGTAACAAAATAAATGAAACACAAAGATAAGACTGAAACTAAAAGACCCGCAAAAAGCATGGCACACTCATCATAAAAACATCACTAGCTTGATAGGAGCTAGCTGGAGCTATTTACCCTCACCTGTCTACAACAAGGTGATGATCATTTCTTAGCCTCTGATGCATCACTAGCCAGTACCCAATGCAGTTCGCAGACCCTGTTAACTCACTCTGATGATAATGATGGAAGAAACAAATTACTGCGAACATTCTTTTTTGTTAGTCTTGTCACCACACGGAAAATTTGTGGCCAACATAATTTTACAGTGACAGTGTTGTAATACCTACAAACCGAATGCACAGATTACGGATTAAAGAACCGTGCCATATATTAACTGTAGCTTAAATCAGATCTCGTAACCATTCAATGCGCGATACCCAAAGCTACTCCCGGACTTGTAAATATGTAGGCTAGGCGGGTGGCTTACCGAAATGGCTGCAATAACTTCTCTAGCACAACTTTTATGTTTCCTTCTATATAGGCCCGTGCTGTTAAGCATTCGCCTTATGTGACGCATACTAAAAGGAGGAGAAGATTATATTGTAGAGTCTAATATTACTAGAAAATCCTGTCCATGTACTCAGTAACAACTGTCACTAGTGCAATGCTGGAGTTCCGCATACGGTTACCTGAAATAAATCCCATGAGCAAAGGCTAGCAAAGCCCATATTTCGGAATAACTGAAGCCTAAATCGAAGTAGTGTTTGAGGAGTTCTTCACCTTTCAAGTTAAGCTTTATCAAGGGAAATTTAACTTGTATCTCTAATGACAAGTTTCATAACAATAATGATAATAATAATAATAATAATAATAGCCGTCGTCATCATTATCTTGATCGTCATAATCTTTTTGGATTGGAATTTGACCTCTTCAAAGTGCTTTTTCTCATGAAGTCATTTTACAAAAACTAAGGCCATGCGAGCTTGCACACAGACTAATGCTGCAGAGACTTGACAAGAAACTCAAGTCAGCATATGAAACGTGGCTCAAAAATAATAAGAAAAATGATATTAAATGATGACAAAAATAAAGTTAAATAATAACAAATAAAAAATAACGGTCATCATCATCATCACGAATAATACTGAGCACTTCTCTTGAAGCAAAATATAGCGCATAACAAGAAGGTAAGAAATAAATTTTTGATAACAACATCTTAGTTCTGCAGTTCCGGTGGAGTAGAGGGAGAAAGGGCAGAGCGGCTGAAAAACAAAAATCAGATTTACGCAAAATTAGAACAGTTAACAAGGATACAAGATTGCGTATGATCCTGTATGGGTGCTATATACCCCGGAAGGACACTTCCAGATAACGATACAGACTCTATCAGTAGAAGCAGGATCAATAGCAGGTTCGATGACACAAACGTCATGATTCATTAGCCCTTTCAACGCAAAACGTAAAAATCAGGTAATTAATTATTACTCTATCACATGCACTGTAATACGCATTATTATATGCAAAACTCTCAAATGAAGCGTAATGAAATTGCTTACCCATCCAGTGGAAGAGGATAACCTGACCGTTCAGAAGGTAACCACGTGCTACACGAAAAAGTCCGAGTTGTAAATTTTGAAATCCACAACTCGGATTTTGAATTTTGACTTGAACCTTTGCAGTGAAAATCTGAGCTGAATCGGATTTTTGCGGTAAAAATTCGAGTTGCAAATTTTGAAATGCACACAACTCAGATTTTGCGGTTAAAATTCGAGTTGCAATTTTGAAACGCACACAACTCGGTTTTTTGCGGTAAAAATTCGAGTTGCAAATTTAGAAATGCACACAACTCGAATTTCTGAGGTAAAAATTCGAGTTGCAAATTTAGAAATGCACACAACTCGAATTTCTGCGGTTAAAATTCGAGTTGCAAATTTTGAAACGCACACAACTCGAATTTCTGCGGTTAAAATTCGAGTTGCAAATTTTGAAACGCACACAACTCGAATTTCTGCGGTTAAAATTCGAGTTGCAAATTTTGAAACGCACACAACTCGGATTTTTGAGGTTAAAATTCGAGTTGCAAATTTCGAAATGCACACAACTCGAATTTCTGTAGTAAAAATTCGAGTTGCAAATGTAAAATGTGAAAAAAATAAATGGATGTCCTATATGAGCCACGGTATTTCCATTTTTCTTTACCTTCGCATCGGCTTTCATTACTGGCTGTCACGCGAAAGCCCCGATAACATCCACAAGAGAATTTCCCTGGAAAGTTGTTACAACTCTGTTCGCATCCTCCATTCCCAGTTAAACATTCGTTGATATCTGAAGAGCAAATTCAGAGACAGAATGTTTTTTTTTCTAAGGTGAACTGAGATTGAGAAGCCGGAAATTGAAGTATTTTTTAGAAGATACCGACCTGTTACTATTTAGTCACAAAAAAATAATAATAAATTGCAATAAGATGCGGAAGCTGGAAATTCCTAGAGACTATTATTAGATCATATCAAAATAAAAGAAGACATTTATTGACACCCCTAGCACATTCCACATGGAAAAACACTTTCTTCTCACAAGAAAGTAGTAGTTTTTACCGTCACAAATTGTTCCGCCACTTCTAAGCTGGAATCCTGGTGCACAGGAACAAGTGAAGCTGGGCACAAGGTTGATACAGTTTGCACCACAAGGCTCGCCGCTTACACCGCAACTGCAAGGACTGGGAACTATTGTCAGGCACTCGTTAATATCTGGGAAGAAATGAACAATAGTCATAAAAGAAAGTAATTCGCCTCGATTGAAAGACCCAGCTGGGGTACTCCATGAATTTTTGATGGAGCGTGCCACTGGAACCCTTGGCCTATACCAGACCATGCTATGCTGCATTTTGTAACTCTGTTTAGAGAAGACACCATATCACTGCATCCCAGCCTCGTTCCCAGGGAAAGAAAAGTGACGCATCCTCGTTGCCAAGGAAAGAAGAGAATCTGGAACGAGGTTGACTGCGTCCCAGATTACCGAAACTCTACGCTGATCAATAAGACTGCACCATTTTTCATAAATAGTTTTACTGAGTTGGCCTTTACTTACTTGAACAATTAAGGCAAACGCTTTCAAATTCTTCGGATGCATAGTGCTTAATTTGCTGGCATAGAATCGCATTTATTGTATTCGTGAGTGTAACTCATAATATGAAGGGCTAAGAAAAAACCAGAGTATTGCTTATACAGAAAAAGAAAATTCGAAACGCATATGTAGATATTGATATTGCAGAAAGGGAATTCTTTTCAGATTTGCGAATGTGTTAAAATTGAAGTAAAATATATAGCGATCTGCCAGTTTTAAAAATATTAACAATTGTGAATATACCATGGCATCGCTGACCACTTTTGGTGTATCCAGGATTGCAACTGCACTGATAAGAACCCTGTGTGTTAGTGCACACATGATCACATCCACCGTTGTTTACAGCACATTCATCTAAGTCTATGAAGCAAAAAAAAAAAACTGCATTTAAACTTTACAAAATCAGCCAGTTGAATTTAAACTGTCGATCTCTTTTTTTAAGCAATTTTTGCAATAGTGTGCACATCCTTGGATACGATAAGTAAAAGAATATAAGAAAGTACGTAAATGATTAATCACGTCATCAAAAAATAAAATTTAGGAAAAAAGTGAAGGGAAGACGTGAAAATGGATAAACACAACGGGGCAACCAAGGAGATGATGACGATGATGATAATGGTGAAGAAGGTGCCGTGGGTAATGAAAAACATGGAAAAAATCATTTTCTCCCCAGTGTTTTACTGATATGAACAAGACTGAGGCCTGAGGGTAAGTTATGCCCGATAACGCTTATGACATTCATCCCTTTGGCGTGATAGACAAAGAGTTCCCAAGCCCCTAGCTCATCTAAACGCGAGCAATTCTGTGAAGCGTGATACCATATGAAAATTACAAATAATAGGGAGTAATATGAGGTAAATGAGGTCCGAGTCATGTAGATTTCTGAGCACAATGCAACCAGTGGGAAAGTCTGAATACCTTGCGCACAGTTGTTACCAGTCCAACCGGATTGACATTGGCAGTTATCTGGTGCAATACAACTCCCGTGACTGGGGTGACATCCTTGAGAACATATCGCTAATATATGGAAAAGAAAAGGAAATATTGAAGCAAATTATCTGCTAATATTTAGTTTATAATCCTGTATCAATCAGAAGATTATCCCTCAAATTATTCATTACAACATAATTAGGATCTCTTAATCAAAATCGACACCGTCTAGGACTGAGTAACTCAAAAACCACACCCCAACCCGCGGCACGTCTTCATGTATCTTACATTTGAAGGTAGGCTCTTCCCGGGGGTTACTTTGAGCTCTTACCCTCCGTCAAATATTTTGCTCTGACTAACGGCTTGCGTTAGAAACGTCAAATTTTCATCCTTTTTGTTTCACTGCCCGACCAACGCAGCACCTCAGTTTCTGTAGACGTTATACCCTTAATTCTTTTATAGAAAACATAATGCTGGGAAATTTTAAAGTACCTGTTAATAAGTAAATACCTACTAATTCATTTGCTTATGCATAGTGAATAAGTGTAATTTATGATGGCTGTGTGAATAAGGGCCATACAGTTATCTCATTCATTTTTACTTTTAAACTGTTAGTTAACTTAAGTGATTCACACTGTTTGATCTGTATCAGATACGATATGACAGTGTGAGCAAGGGCCATACACCCGTCACATTCATTCAAACATGTACATTTCTGTTGGTTACCCTGATCCATCTCAGTAAGCAGGGCTTTGTAAACAGCCTTACCATTCTATTTCTATATGTTCACGTGCATGACCTCCACTGAACTAAACTGGTGTACCCTCACCTTTGCTGGCATAATGTTCTTGTGTATCTGGTTTTCCCAGCTTTATATGCTTTAATCTAATAAACAGCCACTTCCGTGGCCAAAATACCCCATAATGGGTTTGTGATCATTTTGTGTCCCAGCAAACAGAGCTCGCCCAAAGTGAGACTCCGCCAACATCAATAACTTTCGTCATATGCTTATATGTTATTAAATGTATGTTCTTGGGCTCTTAGTTTTAATTTATTGATGTACATCTCATTTTTTAGAACTTTAAAAACCATGTTTTTAAACTTTTATCACGTAAATTTTTTAAACTTTTAACTTGTAAATAATAATTATTATTTTTATTAGTGATTTTAGTCTAAGAGGACCCTCCTGTAAATCACTGGTTTACGTAAAGCTGCCATCCTCAATAAAGATTATCATCATTCAGTTTGAAGAATTTGGGGCTTTTTTATAGAGCGGTTAACAGGATTATAGGGGACTAATAATCAGAGCATAGTCAGTAGAAGGTCTGGTGTTGCGAAAGACGGCAAACATCAAAGCTGATAAAAAACAACAGTGCAGCTGTGAATTTATCATTCGGAACACCCTGACGGTGCACTGTTCTTTGTTCTTTCGTTCACAGATTACGACAGAATAAATTATGGAGGAGTTTTTATTGGTCAGAAAGATCAAAATAATAGGAAGGAATGCTATTGAACGTTGTGCACCGTCACGTTCGCAAAAACATGAACCAAACAAATGATTCCAAACGAGCAAAGGCGTTTTTGAGCGACGCACGTCAACAGGAATAACCTGCAATCACGCTTTCCTTCTTCCCTCTTTGTATGGGAGGCCAAAAGGAAAGTTTCATCCCCTTTTCCGTCCGCCGATTTACGCCCTTTCTGCGAAGAAAGAACGCCTCATCGCAGGATACAACCGGAAGTGAGTCCTTTTCCTTTTAAATATGCCTTGACGCTACGAAATAGGCCACTTCCGAGTTCCGAAGACCCTCACTTTCAAAATGAGGCTAGGTGCACAACATTTCTTGTGAAAATGAGTTTTATTTGCATGAGAGTGAAAATGATTTCCATATCAAAGGCTGAGCACCTACCCTCGTTTTGAAACAGAGGCCCGGGGCAACTCGGAAATGGCCTACTTGTATCGCTAAGTGTCTTTTCCCTTATCGAGGCGATTTGCCTGAAAATTTTGGCTAAACCACTGCACAAGAATACAAAACAACTTCTTCCGACTGACGTGCTTCACTCAAAATCGCCTTTGGCTAGTACCTTGTCTACATTCTCTTGAACTGGAGTCAACTTTCTGCCATCCACTACAGCAATAAATGACTGTCACAAAGATGCTTCTTGTTCTCTGAACAGAGAGGTAGGCTGTTCTTGATCTTTCAAGGAACACAAGGAACAGAACGAGGTTAAAACAAGGCTAATAAACAGTTACCGATGCAAAATCAAAACCGTAGCAGGGGTAATAATCCGCGGTAGTATTTATAATACAAAGGCTAGCTGGACAAAGAAAATAACTTAAAGGAATCAAATAAGCGTAGCAAGGTTACGAATCCAATCTGGCAGGAGGTAAAAACGTCAGCTGTTTACAAAGCGAGGCCTAGGAAATGAAGTCAGCACTACGTACCGATACCCCCTAGCGGTTAGGGCGGGGTTTGAGCCCCGGAAATGGATTTCAGAAGTAAACATTGAATTGATCGCTGTTTAATTCATTTACTACCTCAAAGTGCCTCTTTAGTTCAAAGAAAATAGTATAAATAGAATTTAAATGGCATCCAATTGAAGATGAAACAAAATTATGAAATAAGATATATTTATATTTATATGTGTTTCGTATGTGATTCTTTGGGAACTACTTGTGTCAAATCACCTTCGAAACCACTGGTTAGCAAGTACACCCTTTATGAGAGTTCAGTTCAGTAAGTTTAATCACTGTTATATACAATTTTTACACCGTATACAGTAACATAGGAATAAAATAACAAATAAAGGAATAAAAGAAAAGAAAGAAATTAATGGTTGATAGAAGTGGACGGTGGTCAGAGGAGCTTAGCTTTCGAGCTAACCACCGCTATGATGAATGGAAATACTCATTATGTGCGATAGGTGCCATGGCAAATATGGACGCTAATGTGAAACAGTCATTTATCTGTAGTTAACTTTAAGAGTTAAAGGGGCCTGGTCACGTCACAGTTCATTTTGTTTAATTTTGCCAATTACTCGCCCACAATCCTATGGAACTTAAAGTAAGCAAGGAATTTACAGGTAAATTACAAAATCAGAGATCCGAGACAAACAAATATGTCACCTGAGCATTATTTTTGAAGTTGCAAGCAGCAGGAATCAACTTTGAAAAACTGTTAGACTGAAGAGTTTTCAAAAAACCTAATTTCAATCCGTTTCAATTTTCTTCAGTTTTCCCCATCCGTGGTATCTGTTGTTTCTGTTGTGTTATTTTAACCTCCCTTTAATGTTTTAAGCGGTTATTTTTACGTTTCTCTTAATCTAATGGGCATTTTGTAATTTCCTAATCTGGCTGAATTTCGTGACACAGCTCCTTTAAGCAGAACTCGTTTGCATCGTTTTTTGAATTGGTAGTAGCTGAGTGTTTTCATGCTAGTAGGAATCTCTTCCAAGATTTTGGTTATGGCAAACTTAAAAGTGTGTTTGCCATAATTTGACCTTATACGTGGCACACGAAAAGTAAGATTTGATGCACATCTGGTATTGTGTGAGTGAATATCAGCGTACCCCATTTTCTTCCTCTGTCTTCGAGTCAGAATAACTGACCTAACTGGAAGCGTGTAAAATGACGAATGCCTGTATCTCCTCTAGTCTTGGATACAATGGCTGTCAACCATTAACGGGTCTTAACTGTGTGACAAAGAGCACTTTAAACGAGAATACATTGTTACGCCCAAAAGTGATTACCAGTGCATCGTGGAATCATTGGGACGGCACACGCTGTCAGCAAAAATACTTGGTAAAAGTTAAAGTGAAAAAAGCCAACGTGAAATTCTTTTTCGTAGACACTGCACACTTCATCTTATAATTTTCTGCCGCGATATTCATTAGTATGCTGTTGTCAATACCGCACTACTTCAGTGTTACAAACTTCTTACTTACCGTGACGCAGAGCATCTAAACCAGCCAAACCAACCGCAGCTCGTAGTTGTGGCTGTGTAGACTGTGGTTGCTGTGACCGTATAGTATGTCTGTGTCTGTACAGTCTGCCTGGAGCACACGTTCTGCCTGAAAAAGTTAATGGTGTAACTAGTCGATTCTTAATAATACTCTCCCGATCTTGGAAGAGACTGATTAAAAGCCTCACGTTCAGATATAGAATTAGCCTAAACATGATGCGCCGTGTTAAAATCCCTTTTCACGTTGCCTAAAGCAGTGTTCAATCAATATTAGGAGGGTAATCATGATCAGTTCGGGGCATTACTCGGCCAGTCATCCTGTACATTCAAGAATAGTCAGTCAATTATTTATCAAGATAACCTTCGCGCGACAAGTTTAGCTAAAATGTTGCCCGTATTACTTGACCTTTAAAAAGGAAAGAAAGTATGCACAAACGTGCGCGAGGAATTGTTCACCTGAAACTTGGGAGCTAAAACAAAAGTGGAGAAACATCGCTACAGGGAGAGGAGAAAAGCTATTAAAAACCATTGGGCACAGAAGTCCAGTAAATTGAAAACGAGACCAAAAGAATTCTAATAAGACCTTCAACCTATTTCTAAGTTCGAAAAGTAACCGATACCACAAACATTTCCATACGGATTAATGACAGCATAATTAGCGACCAAAGAAATGTAGCAGAAATATTTGGAGATTACTTCTCCACGATGGCAAACGAAATTGGAGGCCAACATGTCCCTCAACTCGGCGAAGAAGACTTTAAAACGCATGGGAGCGTGGAAGCAATTCGCCATTCTTACCACAGTCTTCACTTTGAATTCATCAAGATAGACTCTCGTGCAGTCGAAAACGAGTTAAAGAAGGCAAAAAGCCATGGGATGGGACGCAACCTTCATTAAAATTCTGAAGCAAATGGCAGTCAGTCTTACACCTGCGTAAAACAAATCTTTTTAACACCTGTATTCAAAGAGGGCAGTGGCGGAGTAACTGGAAGAGGGGAGTGTGGACCCCAGTTTTCAAAAAGGAGGACAGGGCTGATTATTGGCTAATTACAGACCAGTAACTGCCCTGAAGGCAGTAACGTTCACAGAGAAAATAGATACCCATTTATATGATATATTGTCTGCTTACAGGAAAACGCACAGCTGCGAGATCAAACTAACCCGCTTAATGGAGGACTGGAGAAAAGCTATGGATAACGAGGAATGCGTAGCGGTTTTGTCAACGGACGTGAGCAAGGCATTTGAAAAGTTGGATCTGCGCTAATGATTAAGAAACTTGTCCTTAGAGCTCTTCGTTCCTATTTCATCGAGCGAAAAAACTGCGTTAAAATCAGCAATATGACAAGCACGTGGAAAGACCAGTTAAGGGGTTGTCCACAAGTCACCACTCTGTCCGCTGCTATGGATCTTGTTTCAAAATGACTTATCTCTGAACGTACACACCAGTAACTTGTTCATGTATGCTGATGATCATAATCGATAAAAATCGATATCGGAAATCAATCGATATCATCGGTATTAATCGATTTAATCCGCTGATTAAAATCGATTGATATCGGTAATCGATAGAAATCGAGGTCACAGAAAAAATATTTTAACGATTATTATCGATTAACAAAATCGATAACAATCAATAGGAATCGATAGTAGTCGATAAAAAGCAATAATCTTGAAGTGAATATTCTGAACCTCACGACGCTATTTGGCAAGCAAAACCGATGAGACCGGCTTTTGTTGAACACATTTTATTTTTGATGACTTCAGTAACTCCTTCAGGCGCAGTCTTCACCAGATTTCAATTTTTTGGTTCTTTAGTTTCCTGATTTGTATTATGGATCTTTACATGTCCATTCAATCCAGACGTAGTTCTTTCTTAATGCTACTCATTGAAATCATAAGAACACTGATTTTGTTCTTTATTATGTTCCATGTATATGTAGTTGCTACAGCGACAGAGGCTTATTTTCTGCCACTTTCGTACTAATATTTCTTTCCTTATTATGATCTGCAGTTAAGCTAAAAATTTTAAAACAAAGAGTACTTTGTTTCTGTTAGTGTTTTGTTCTTTTAGTACCGGTATTTTATCAACAGATAAGTAAAAAAAACTGCTTAATTTCACGAGTGAATGACTCAATGATAGCGTACGGACAACATCGCGTTAATGTTGAACTTCTACCGAAAAATGACTCAAGTCTTCTCCGATAATAATCGATAAAAATCGATAAGAATCAATAAAAAATTATTATCGATTTCTATCGGAAATCGATATTAATCGACGTCACAACTTTTTCTTCATCGATTTCTATCGACTGATATTGGAAATCGATATTCATGTATGATTGTTATCGATTAGGATCGATAATTATCGATTATCGGTTTATCGTTTAATTACGTCTAGCAAAACGGACATCCATGCCAACCCAAAGAAGTACCAAGTTTTAGCAATGACGCCTCGAAACATTGACAAGGAAGCAAAGGATTAGTGTATACTCTTGACATCAATAATCAAAAATTCAAACCAACGGCTGATTTAAGAATTCTTGGAGTAAACATAAATGATCAGCTCAGTTTCACTAAACACATAAGCGACATTTGTAAAAAAGCGAGTAGCAAAATAGGGGTGTTAGCAAGACTACGCAATCTAATCTCATGCAAGACCAAGCTTAAACTGTACCTAACAGCAATTCTTCGTCACCTGACGTATTGTCATTTTTGTAAGCAATCTGAGAGACGAAAGCTGGACAGACAGCAAGAACGCGCTTGAAGAGCAATATGTTACAACTGCAGGGCAGACACTTACGAGGACCTTCTACGCAGTGCAAACTTGCCCTCTCTCTACAATAAGAGGCTTCAAGAGATTGTAATTTTAATGTATCAAGTTAGAAATAGTTTGACCCCTGACTACATAGGTGAACTTTTCAATTTTGCAAACAAAGGGTACTCTCTAAGGGATGCAGATTTTGATGATACCTCGCTACTTAGCAGTGAGATATGGAAAACACTCTATTAGGTACCTGGGCCAATACCTTTGGTTCAGACTATCTTCAAATAATCGACAGCGACCCTCGCTGGACAAGTTTAGATGGAACTGCAGAAAGAAAGACTTGACTTCTTTTATAAAGGGTACGTGCACCAATTGTTACTTATATATCACTTAACCACGTTTGCAATGGAATTTTGTCACTTTTTAATTAAAAAATTATAAATTCGTGAATATTCCAAATATCAGTTTTTCTATGAACTATATAAGCGATATTAAATTTGTGAATAGTGCAGATTTTTAGATTTTTATTATGAACCTTCCTTGTTTTCAAAATGATTGTAAATTTTAAAATAGATTTTTAGCACTCGTAGCATCCCTATTTTAATTTTTTTTTTTGTATTTGGAATGTTCTTTTCGTGTGCACAATTAGTTTATATCTAGCTAAATACTCTGACACTTAAATAAAGTTCATTCATTCGTTTGCTAATTGATTGCACTGAATTAGCGATTTTTGCCTCCTTCTTACGTAGAACAATAACTAAGAGCATAGAGTATTAAAGCAAGACGCTAAAAAGGTACACGAACGACCAGAGGCAAGAAAATCTCCGTTTGGTAACATAATACGCCCGAGATTAGGCCGTATGCACTCTACTAGCGCCGAATGCAATAGGGGTGACGAAATGAGCTTAGGTTAAAACAAAGCAAAACAAAAAAAAAACATTCATCCTAACGACCATCTTGACTTTATTTTCCCATGCACTTAAAAAACCGTTGTTTTCAATGATAATATCAGTGTTTCACTAGGTGGCTCAGAGTCTGATCTACTAACTCTACCGAAAGAAAAAGAAAATATTTCATTTTCTTCCCTCATTGTTCCCTTTTTACGGGAAATGTGCCAAGGCATGCTGGTGCATGCTTTGTTCTTGCGAAAGTGAAGCCCGCTTTTCCTGTTTACTAGTAAACGAGACCCTAGCAATGATAATTAATTTTTCTTTTCTAAAAATTATGCTGTTTTTGAAACTAAGTATTACCAAACAAATCATCTGTAGACGGATGTAACTAAAAGGCATATTAATAATTTGAACCTAAATAAAGTGTAAGTTTAAAAAGTGTTCAAATGTTTGCGTGTTGTGTCTAGCCATTACTTCTGGGAAACTATCGGAGGGCATTGAAATCATCAGACAAAAAACTATTTTCCATTCATTTTGAAAATACCACAAACTGTTTCCATGTTTGATATGTCGACTATAGTTACTGACTTTTTATCGGTAAAAACAATCGAAACTCCTGATTATTTGAACCATCAACATTGTATACCTCTGGCTGATTTTTGAAGTTTCTTGTTTGAATTATTTTTCATCCCTCAGGGTTGATTCCACTATCGCGTAATTTTTACGTGCGTACGTGCGTAAAATTTATGTTCGCAAATAAAAAAGAGGCAAGCATGAACGGTCGCTCGTAAGCGTAAAAGTTGAAGTTTGCTCAACTTCACGTTTAATCTCAACACTTTATATCTTGCCTCTATTCTAGTTACGTGCGTTACCGTGCGTGGCCAAAAACGCGTCAGTGGAAATCAACCCTCAAAGTGGTTCGAGTCTATTTTTAATTGCATATTATATACTAAAGGATCGCGGCTTGAAATTTACTGATGCGTATTTTACTACATAACTTCTTTCCTTTTTTTCCTCAAACAATGGAGCACGAAACATTTACGTTCTCTTGGTAACATTTCTCTTTAACATTATTTTCCAATAAAAAACTATCAGGCTATCAAATTAACCTTGTTTTGTGCCATGTTAATCTTTTTACAGCCACCTCAGTTTGTTAATGTGGAAAAAAATCTTGTAAGGTGAAGAAGCAAATTTTGGTTTACTTTCCGTCAATGTTTATATGCATTTTTACAGTTTAATTCAGTTAGGAAAGTGAAATTTAAAACTTTTGGTTTTACGTTATATCCGATAAAGCGAACCTAAAAGTGTTTGAAATCACAAAGACGGTTGAACGTCCTGAAGATAGAAGTTAAACCTGATTCAGACGGTGCGTGGTGTTGAAGGAGATTAACTTTAGACGACACTTCCTATAAGGGTGGATTTATTTGCAACATAAGCGTATAGCTGTCGCATTTGCCTGATGGAATTTTTTTATTGTTTTAGGCTCAAAGAAATAAAAATTCTAGCGAAAAAATGCGACAGCTATACGCTTATGTTGCAAATGAATCCATGGCCATCCTAAGGCGAAAAGCGAAGATGGCAAGAAAAATGCCTTTCTAGAAGGAAGTGAACTGAGTCCACTAATCTCATAGGTTTTTGTCATGGTACGCCCATATCAAGTGATAATTGGTGGTTTTGCTGAGCGAAATTGTCGGCTAGAAGTTTATCATTTCTTAAATCACTTACCAAGTGTATTATTGGCGCTGATTCAAAAAGTAAAACGAAAATACCCTACGCCCCTACAAATTTCGATTCGTCCCGACGTGGTTATCAGTTAGTCAAAATGGCACTAAAGAAGGTCTAACTAGCTGCTAGAAATTTGTCCTGACATAGACAAAGAATTCATATCCGATTGTTGTGATAGATTATCGGTATCCTAACGATGCTGAACATATCCACGCTTACACCATGGTATTGAGGATGAAAAGGAACAAAAGAAATGACTGAAATATTGGAGCCATCTGGGAGTCGAAAAACCGTTCCCACCTGGTTAAAATGCCAAGGATCCACAATGGTCTTGTCTATCCCATTTTGTTTAATGACATTTTCTTGAACCGCGTAAAAGCAAGGCCTTGAGTCTAGAACTTAAACAATACCGTCCTGAAAGTAAAGCTTAGTTAAGATTGCATATCACTACCTATACTATTTATCTTGAAATAGTTATATACCACTGTTTTAAAACTGCTTGTACATGAACAAACTTTGTTATTATCTTTTTGCTTTCCGAGATGTTTGCACACAATTTTCAAGATAAATTTCTTCTAAGGAAGTGCAGAGGCACAACTTACCCATTTGCGTCGAGATTTGACGTATTAACGACAGCTTGCTTCGTTTCCTGAAAGCTGGAAATAAGAGACAACGCTAAGACGAAAAACAACATTCTAGCTTTTGGACACAAGCAGAAGTGCCTCGCTAAGCATATTGCCGCTGAAATTAATCAGTTTTTACATTATTCCCGGAACTGTCATGATTTATTCTAGTAAATGCTACCATTCGTTTAAATATGATTTGTAAATGAAGCAGTGAACTATGACGAACTTTGTCCGACTCATAATATTTTTGCTTTTAAAAACATTTCGGCCACAAAACGTTTGAAAAACCTGCAGCTTTCATATTAGGTTTTAATGAAAACTTTGGAGCAGAGGTCAAAATAGTTATAAGCCCCCTCTGAATTCAGTTTTGAATTAGTTTTTACATATAAGGCCACGAATTCGAAGTTTTGGAGCCGGTGTCCCATTGTGAATAATGTATAGACTGTTTACACAACTAAACAGTCCTTCCGAGGATTCCCAATGTCTGGCATCATTATTTACGATCACCATTACTCTTTCCTAGTTAGTTTTTACGCTTAAGCTAACAGGATCTGCGTGAGTCAAGAAAATAATAACAATGATAATAACAATAAAAACGCGAATATTTATACAGGATAACCTATCAGTTCTAATAAAAAGAACTTTTATCAAAAGGGTCCTGTAATTATCTCATAAATAGCTAAAAAATAAAAAATAAAATCGAAAAAGGAAAATAAAATAACACTAAGAAATCTAAGATTTAAAAATCCAAACCTGTA